ACTGTTGGGACGACCTCCAAATGGAGGTGGGGGAGGAGGGGGAGGAGCAGGGGCACTACTGTTGGGACGACCTCCAAATGGAGGTGGGGGAGGAGGGGGTGGAGCAGGGGCACTACTGTTGGGACGACCTCCAAATGGAGGTGGAGGTGGAGGAGGAGGGGGAGGAGCAGGAGAAGGGGCTGCAAGGGCTGAAAGGGCTGTCGCACCACTGGAACGATCAATAGCTGAAAGAATAGGCACTGGATTAGTTGTCTGCCCAGCAGAATCATTTTTAACCCCTTCTATTCTTCCCATCGATGGTGACTGCGTTCTAGAAAGAATAGATGGTTTGTGAAGACTTGTATCAAATGAAGTTGTACGACTTGGTTGTGGGGTCAAGTTAAAATGCAATTTTCTACCACCACCCCCATCCTTAGGCGAATTTGGAGCAGACCGAGAGTCGGGAGAATTAAATCCATCTCCAGGAATCAACTTCTGTAAGTCTTGAAAACCATTCTGTGTCATTTGCTGAAGAAATGTAAGCGCAGCATCTCCATGTCCATCAACCCAATCCCCACTGCTAAAGAGCTCCTGTACTTTGGCAAATGCTTCCATCGGGAGAACCTCTTTTTCTTCCCCACCCAGCATAATCACAGGAGGTCTTTTCGAAGGTATAGCTTCGGTCTCATTGAATAACACCTGTGGATGAAACATGACGAATCGTTTATAAAATTACACCTCATTCAGTATTGTACGTGTAACGTAACCAAACATATTTCAATGACAAGCTAGCATACACCTGCTCAGTAAAACAAAGAAAAAAAAATGCTACCTCGGCTCTGAAGTCTTTTGGAAATCGCTCTTTCGCGTTCCACACTATATCTATGTCATCACGCGTCAGAATTAGTATATTCGATCTAATGAAGGCTGTGTTAAACATGATTCGAAACATCATTCCCTCTCGATCTGTTTCAGGATCCAGGTTTATGCACTCCAGAACCACGTCACCTCTTACTGGGCATTGGACGTCTATCTTTACAATTTCACAGTCAACCTGCATGACACCAAGAGTTACTTGACATAATTTAGTCCAAAACAGTATTGTGTAAACAACCCAACTCTAAGTATTACGGTGATACTTCGAAGCCGATCATGATGACAAGATGGTCAAAGATCTCTTCCACAAGATCTCAACACCACTGTAACAGAACTTCAGAAAACTCATCTACATACTGTTTTGCTACGAATCTAACCAGGCAGGTACAACGGAAAAATAAAACTGGTATGAACTAACCTAAGCATCCAGTTTTCAAACCTACCGAGAGTCCAGACAAACTTCAGCAAAACTCCGGGAAAATTAATACCTGACGATATTGCCTAACTCTCTTCTTATTCTGTGAAAAAAGCATTTTCGTCGTGCGATTCGCCTTCAGCCTCGGATCCTGGCCATAAACACGTACGAGAGGTCTACATCCTCCCTCTGAGTCGAATGTTGGAACTACCCGAAACATGAGGCAATCTAAGGTAAGTGCCCGATCTTGAGGTGGCCATTCCGGAGTATTGTTTCGTCTAGCAACATACTGTAAGTATCGTAACTGTGAAGGAAGAGGATTAAGGGGTGAAACTAAAGGTAACAATCCCTTGGGCGCCTCTTTATGCAGCATATCCAATGTCTTCAGCTCCCCAGTGTGCAGCTTCCTGTAAATGAGAAAGGATGCAAGAATAAAAGCAAGCAAGGGCCACCCTCCCCTCTCACAGTGCATGAGAATAATGTTCTGGCTGCCTTCAAGAGACAACCAGCTGTCACTGGAGCGAAGAAAATGATGAATCATTTCCATGGATAAAACAGGACAGCCCTCGTAATGCCGAGGGTAATCCATTACCGTCATGTCATACTGTGAGAGAATCTCCGTCAGGTGACTCTTTCTCTCCCCTTCCCTAAAATTGAACACGAGGTAGGAAGAATCTGGGAACTGCTCATGCAGCTGTGTAGCAATCTGCCGCATGTAAATTTTATATGTCTCATCCTCAAATACGTCTGTCGAGAAGCACGAATCAAAAACTGCCACAGAACGCAACAAGGAATTTCAAGATAACAGCATTAAGTTAAATTACACATCCCACCTTGTCAATGGCACTTCGAATTCACAAAACCATTATCAAAAAATTAACTGAAGGTGCTGTCTCTGACACGGTTTCAAAATTGAAGATATGCCAATCGTTTATTAACCTCTAAGAGTACCACTACAAATAACAGACGAAAGCGTATCTACTAGTGGATACCAAATAGAACAGACAACTATCGTCCAACACAGATACTATCGCTGTTAATTTTCTTCAGGGGAAATTTCAAACCAACAAGAAATAAAATTCGAAACTAAAAAATTTGGTCTTACATTTTACGCAAAAGTAGTGGAATCCTCTTTACAAAGAATCTACCATTGTGGATAATCGAAGTGAGAAAAATGTGAAAACAGCTGGCTTGGGCGAGACTGAAAGAGAAGTTTGATCCACCAGATGAACCGAATGCAAATTAACGTTGCGATCACTTAATTGCGCAACCATGGACATATATGCCTTCATCCTTGGACAACAAAATTAGGGCATGGAGCACAGATACGTACCGTAGACACGCTCAGTAATCTCCAAAAGACCATCTGGTGGTCTTCTGTAAAAGAATCGACGGAACAAAGACATATTCCCATGCACAAAGGTATCACTGGCGAAATTGTGACTCTTTCTTAGTCCTTAGCTATGACTACGCCTTCGCATTCTATCAGTATCCTTAGCTCATTTCCGCACCAAAAAGAGGAGGGGCAGTCAATGATCAGATTTATAAATGAACCAAGCTAGGTATCGCTGTCAATCTCGCTGTGCTCAATTGTGTCCACTATACGCAAATGGCTGCTGTGGAAAATTACTAGGTTAGAAATCTCTTTCTCTCGCGCTCTCTTTCTCTCTCTCCGCTCTCCCGCTCTCTCGCAAATAGGGACAATGATAAGGAGGAAGTAAATTCGTAGATTGCAAAGCAATTTAAACAAAAGCTTACAGTAATCAATGCTTGGTGCAGACCCAGATTTACTGGCCGGTTTCTATAAATAGGATAATTCTAAACTTTTGGTCAATTACTCAATAAAAAAATAAAAATAAAATTGCTGCAAAATATGCCACAACAGAACCTGAACGAGCCAACTTCGAACCTAGATCAATTGAGGGCAATCAAGCAACGACTTGAAGCTAACCAAAACGATACGTCTTACAGTTTCACAATATCCAATCTCAAAGCCATCTGCAAATCTTCCACAGAGAGACCTATCCAAGGATCCAAAACTCAAATCTGCATACGAATTTATCACTGAACCCTAGAGGATTCACAGCAGCTTCCAAGTGCAACACCACCGCTTCAGAGAGAGCATCATCCCGCCGCTCACAAATCCATCAAACAAGGCTATCCTCCCGCTATACCGTTAGAGAAGCACAATGACTTTCCAACATTCGCAGCACAGAACCGAGTCGGATCCTCAAGCCAACCCTAAGAACGACTTTACATGATCATTTAACAGGGTGATTCCGAACTCGAGAAAACCATCCTTTGCCCTCTTTTGTTACAAATCCAGGCCTGCATAGCACTTCAACACGATCCAAGCTATCAGCTACCTCTACAAAAGATCTCAGATACACTACTGGAACTTCAATTCCGATCTCAGAGTCCGAGCTAACAAGATAGCTTTCTCAGCATTGCATCAAATGAGGTGAAGTATAAGCGAAAATCCGATTCCAGACAAGAGTAACTCCTAAACCGCGCCGACGTAAGATGCGCAATCCGAGGTGAAAATGAGCATGGGACGTGGAGAGGAATAATCCGAATCGAGAAGACTGAAGCAATCTTGGCTATGGCGTGAGGATGATGTAAGGCAATGCAACTCTGGCCAAGACTCGCCCCCAGGTCCCTCCCTGCTGACACTCCCACTCTCCAAGACCCGCCCCCCCCCCTTGAAAGGGGTCTTCCGACCGGTCTTGGTGTGGTGCCTGCTGGTTCGGGTCTTCCTCCAGTAACACCACGGACGAAGCTCCACCATATGTTCCAGTTTTGGATGGCCATTCGAACGAAGACTGGGCTCATCTATTCATCATACGGATGAATTATGCAGTCCAGTAGATCCAAACTAGAATTCGTGGCCATTAGAGAGGTTGGGTTGACAGTGTTTTAGGTGGTTTCAAGGCCGACCTGGGGCTCTCTAACAGTTTATGAGAACATTCCAAAGTATTCTCTGCAAAATGAAAGTTTTTTCTTCTTTTTTGCCTTCTTTTCCTAAATAGAAGGACGAGTTAAAGGACAACATGGTAAAAATTTTAACAGCGGGTATTAGTAAAAATAAATCTTGTTCCATAAATATATTTTTAAGAGCCATCTCAAGAACACTCCCTAAAAAATCAATGAAATATATTGTGCGATTATTGTTGTCATGTGAGAGGACATGTCAATTTCTCATTCAATGTTGATTTCTTTGTCTTTTGACTCATTGGCCTACTGTGTAGCCCACAAATCGATTTTTAGAGAAAATTTCATTTAAAAATTATAAGTTCAACATTCAATATATATATATATATATATAATTTTTTATATTTGTTCAAATTTTATATGAAGAAATCTTAAATTTTAAACTTATGGGTTTATACTTGCAACTTATTTTTTTCAATTTTTATGTTGCTGTAAATCATTACTGCTTCCTTTTGAATTTCCTACAACTCTCATATTAACCAAAAATAATTATAGGTTCATGTATTAATTATCAAAAAATCATTTATAATAAGCTCAATTGGAGGTCAGTATCTTGCTCCAATTTTGTATCACATAGATGGCAGTATGTAAGATGCTATATCACAAGCTTAAAATCTCATTAGTTTTATACACCACTAATGACCATGAGAACTATTAGTGCCTTACTTATGCATAGATGGCATTTTATGTTATTATGTTTTTTTTTTTTTTCATTATTTATATTACATAAAAAATTTATAAAAAGCATCATGTACATCACCAACTTTGAAACTCACTTTCTTCCCAATCACGATACATTTAATCATAAAATTTCACAGTCTTGAGTAGCAGAATATACACCATGATATTTGTAACAACATCTTTATACGTTTTGCACATATTTCAATCACTTCAAAGCAGATCTCATAGAACAAAGATGCAGTTGTCTGTGCAGCTATGATCATGTTTTGCATCTCTTCAGGGAAAGCTTATCTACTGTGAGTGTGTTCTTTTTATTTTTTACTGGATGAACATCAACAATGATAAACAAACCCAATTGTCATCTTTTGGGATAGAATTCAGCTGGACCCAGCACCTTGGAACCAAAACAAAAAAAGTGAGGTAAAGCTGCTTAAACCTTTGAAGGATTCAAAATAGGTAGAGTTTCAGAACACAGAGGAATCTGTGCCTTCACATTAAATTTAGAACCCATCAGCATGCTGCAGGCTCCCTCTGAATTGGTACACACCAAAGAAGCATAATATCCTTCCAAAACCAAGTACCTTTCAAGACAGTTTGCAAGGATAGCTCTTATGTACCTCATGGTGGTAAGACCCAGTGAGAGAGAGGGAGCACTCAAAGGAAGCCTTCACAAGCAGAAAGGAGATTCCTTTCAGAACCAATGGTGACCCTCAACATGGGCAAAAGGAGGGGTAGAGCTGATACAGGAAGTTGAGGGTAGGTTCTCTCCCCCTGGTGTACAAAACCCAGTTGGTTCACTTGGCTTCAACTCCAAGACCAAGCAACAAATAGAAGGCATGCTCTGCAGCCAATGACTGATGACCAACCATCCCATCCACAAAAAACATATAATAATATCTTTATGAGTTTGTGGGCATGTATGAAAAGCCTTGCAACTGCCTTTGTGATAATTGTGAGCGACATTTGGCAGAGGCTCTGTGGCAAGGTGGGTGTGAGCCTGATCTATCCATGGGAAAAATGTCAACCTTTTTCATTACAAGAATTAAGGGATGACAAGTTATTTATTTATTTATTTATTTGTATTTACTTAGTTGAACATGTGCTGTTGTTCCAGAAAATATGCAAAAAATTAGTTAATGTGATAACTTTTTTTGAGGTAGAAGTGAATCATATGTATTCTTAAGGCCATGTAAATCTATAATCTTGATTCTATTTTGTGTAAGTTTTCTTAAAATATGAACTTCCATTTGTGTAAGCTGTACATTTATACACAAAAATATGTGAAATCTGGTTTTTGATTTGAAAATTTTACTGTTTAAAATAATTCTAGAAACAAATTGTGATGAAATTCTGACATTTAAATTGCACAATGTAAAGGTACTGCTCAAAAACATCATATTGTAACTACAAGTTATTGATATACAATCAATTCAGGAATACAAAAGAACTCAACTCTATAAGAGAAGATGGATACTTGCGCACATAAATTGAAGCACACAAAATTATCTATGACTTATTGCTTACAACTCATATCTGTTCAAAATCAATCTTTTATTATTTTTTAAATATGTATGTCATAACATATCCTTATAAGAAGAATAATACTTCTACCTTAAATGTTTCTAGATCAAGTTTCCTAATCAAAGTAACATCAATTTGTTACTTGATTGAAAAACAAAAATAAACAAATGACTCAATCAATGGGTATCAAGGCCAAAAACATAATGGCGAATACCATGTTCATTCAAGATAAAATTAATATGTTTCAATCAATTATAAGGAAAGAGAGAAATATCATAGCCTCATGATGTTTTATTATATTGTATAATCAATGTATACATAGAAACACCAAACGTTGAGAGACTCCTACTGATCTCCAAAACCTGCCTTGAATCAGCCATAGTGATGTCTAAGAAAGTGTCAAGGACATGAATCTCGAAGAAAGAAAATCCTCAATACATTCTTGTGTCATTGAAAAGAACTAGAAAGTCATTCAAAGATGATATAATATTGAACTAGAATGGCTATTGCCAAAAATAAGAAGACTAGAAAGTCTTGAAACAAGACTCAGGACTAGAAAGGCATTGATAAAAGTGAAGAAGGCTTCACTCTTGCCTCCATATATACTCTTAACTAGGAGCTACGTGGCGATGTCCTGTAGCACCTCCAAAACATGTTGACTTTACAAGACACATATCTTAACTTGCAAGGTAAATTTTTTATATGTGCACCACATAATTAGCTTGTTCCATAAGCTACCAACATGTGGTTAATTTGTTGATTAAGTTTTTAACCTACCAATCAACTACAAATACATGTGAAGTCAAAGCAGCATCTATAAAGCTTCTAGAAAGCTTCTTTAGAAGGTCTTATGAAATTAACTTACTTTTATCTACTTTTACCTACTTCTATCTAATCATATAGGTATTTATTAATGTACCTATACATATCCGTGACAAATAGTTGATCTATTTTCAACAACTTAAGCATTTTAGCATATTTTCCATAAGTATATGAAAAAATAAAAAACATTTCCACACAGGAAAATAAAAATCAATAAGATTCTAGGTATTTTTACTCAATTTTGTCTAAAAACGGAATTTATATTAATATTTAAACTAAAGATTCTCTTTGGTCTAAATCCAACATATAAGCCAACCTAATTCCAACCAATGGTTAATTATAAAATAAAAAATGCTTGATTTCCTAGCAATTTTTTTGAATTGGTATAAAATTCTTAATTTCTTATCCCATGGCATCATGGAATTGATGCAAAATGTGAATTAAGTAATGTGAAACCATAAGGTGTCAAAACTAATCAATATTATCATGTCAAGTTGATTAAAAATATACCACCCTATAAATGGGAAATGGGGTCAAGAATGAGTTGGCTACCTTAAAAAAAACCAATTTGACTCCACTATTTTGTAATGTTTTAACCTCTTGTAGGTATTAGTACATTAGATTAATAAATGGGGCGTTAATCAATAAAAATTAATATAGATATGTTTACCGGAATACATACAAACCTTGTAATGGTGTCATGGAATTGATGCAAAATGTGAATTAAGTAATGTGAAACCATAAGGTGTCAAAACTAATCAATACTATCATGTCAAGTTGATCAAAAATACACCACCCTATAAATAGGAAATGGGGTCAAGAATGAGTTGGCTACCTTAAAAGAAACCAATTTGACTCCACTATTTTGTAATGTTTTAACCTCTCGATATAGTACATTAGATTAATAAATGGGGCATTAGTCAATAAAAATTAATATAGATATGTTTACCAGAATACATACAAACCTCGTAATTATAGCTTTATGCAAACCGCAGATGGCGACGAGGTCAGAAATACAATTCTGGGGACGAATTCTAGCACTGAATCTGATCTCTCCAGACAACGTCGTGTAAATGGGGTGATTTGATTCGGTGCACGATAGTTCTGGATGGTGCTGTGACCTCCGCAGCTTGGACGAAGAGTTGAGACTACGTCATGGCAAGTTTGCATTTGGCATGATTTCAAGTTGGTGGACGTTATCGTTAAATATCATGTGACCTCGATGTGCAAGATATGGCTACAGTTTCGAATGGGAATCCAAGTTGCTTGGAAGTTGCTCAGTGATATGGACGCATGTCTCTGTGTCAATTAGTTTCTTGGGGTCGTGCTGGTGTTGGCGTTGATATAACTACAGTTAGCTCGTGTGAAGCACGTACTCCGCTGCCCATCCTTGCAACTGGCATTAGGGCTTCGGAATCAGGATATCTATTACCCTTGGTATTGTGGACATAGTTTTTTTCGTTGACAACTGCGACGTGGTGGATTTGAGCAGGAACTTACGTACTCATGTCTCTTCCCATCGATTCTGCAGAAGTCTTTTAATGCAATGACATTGTACTGTACCAACGTTGTTGTCTGTTGTTCTGCAGAATTTTCAGCAGACATTTTCTGTACATTTTCTTCTCATGAACCAACTGCAGACGTCGCAAGCATACCAAGCCTTGCTGTATGCTGAACGGGGTGGAGGCCCTTCCGTGTAATATGATCGGTCTGCCATGGATTTGGGATGCTTTAGTAGGAGTTGGATTCAAAAGCTCCGCATTTGCGTGATTAGGGTATGCACTGAAATGAAGAGGTCTTCGAAGAAATTCATCTTCATCAACCCTGTTTTTACATTTAGGATTAGGTTATTGCTAACACGAGCATTTATTGCACTAGATTGGACCCGCAGTCTCATGCGCCTCGACTGGACGAGGAACATTGCTTGTTTCTGGAACTCATCATCATTTAACAAGTTGCACATGTTATTAATTTGCCGCTGGTAGCCAATTCTTACCCGTGCGGACACATTTAACAGCATAAGAGACTTCGATTGCATTGTCATCGTTACCAAAAACCAAGGTCGAGCTCATTCTTACTTGCGACCTCGTCCACACTTAGGACTACTACTGTCTTGGTAACGCCGATTGACGGATATCAGATGTGAAATACTCCAGCTTGCCCTGGAATCTAAATATTCCATCATAAAAACCTTCATCGTTAATGCTACTCAGCAAGCGTTGTGAACCGACAATGCATTACGTCACTCAAGTTACAAACACTGAGCACGAAACAGAAAATGTCATCAGGGATACGTCCTCGTCATGGGACGGTGGTATAGCCTTTTGTCGCAGGGGATGAGGGATTCTCTGTCCTTAACAATCAAGGAAGCCGCGGTAGTATGAAATTTCTCAAGAAAACCATGTTGTATCACTTTCAAAAATAACTGTTGTAAATGCAGCAGAGAACGCAACAGAGATCACAGTCACCCCTAAGATTCGTCTGACTTTCCAAATCAAACGGGATGTAGCAGCTGGTTGGAGGGTTTATGAGCAAGGTGGTTGTAGGAAAGTAATTATGCCCAGCGCCAAATAACATTTAGTTAGTAAACTAGCATGGTCGCATGTTCCTGAAATGACTAAAGAACAAGAAAGAGATCAATCCATCGCAGAGAGGATTTGTTTGAGCAATTGTTCTTGTTTGTTCCCACGAGAAAGACTACAATCTTTTACATTTACGGAGAATTCATAAGCAAAGTCTCGTTGTAAAGTGAGATAAATTTGGATTACGAAGACAAATTTTGCTTCTACCACGAAGATGTGCTTTTGTTTTCTAGAGATTTTCGTGCTCGGCTGCCGTCAATTTACTGTAAAAACAAGTCAAGATGAGATGAGATCCTTTTGAATGTGATGATGGCGCGTGGGCTCCAGGCATGCTGCGAAAGATATGTAGATGAGCAGATAGCAGATGAGCAGATAGGTCGGTGACTCACTGCGTTGACAGGATTTTAGAGAGGACGGTGTTTCATACGGTATTCGCTAAAATTGCCACCAAAATGAATTTCGAAGAAGGAAGGCGAACTACTCACCGCTCCATGTCGGTCATGAGGTCTGTGTCCATGAAGTCTCCTGCTTCTACGAACCTTTCTTGTGCTACCTGGCATGCTCTGCGTCCACGCGCCATCACCACTCTCCCCGTCACCTATTTCGTTGGAAAATTATTCCCTAAGGCAATCATTTTGTGCAATTTGCGGCGATCACGCCGTCTGGCACTGCGAGCAATTCGAGCTTCATACAAGTAAGCCCTTCTGCAGTCGTCTCAAGCTGGATTGATATTTTTTGCGAATATCTCTCGAAACAGCTTCGTAAGTATCTTTAATTTTGCCGGTTGGAATACCGCCGCATCTTTTCGCACTATTAGACTCGGATTGATGCAAATTGCGATGAACGATCTGTATGCGTCGATAGCGGACATGTATGTGCACCTTAACTTCTCTTTCAAAATGCATGTCTCAGAATGCATGTCCCTAAGCTGTTTTGGTTCTGGTTTCTTGGGTGTGATTTTCTGGAGTAGGAGGCTGTAGACGCCTGTGTGGAGGATCGTTAGTGGCATTTTTAAAAGATTTTCCGATGCTTGGAATATTTGGACGCATCGGTGGTAAGGTCGTGAAGTGATTCTCAAGTCACTAGATAATCTGGGTGTGAGTTCGGGAGAGGTGTGCAAGTCGTGATTCCTGCTGGATTAGTGCTCTTGGTATTACTTTGAGGCACGTGAGTGTGCGCTTTCTTGTTTTTGCAGAGTCCAAGTGTATTGATAGCGAAGTATGAGCTAACAGTTTTTGGTGCTTCCAAGAAGACTTTATAGATATAGATGCGAGTGAATTTGAGACTTGTACGTGAAACTGTGATGTTTGTGTGTTTCTATTGCTCCTGCTTAGGTTTTAGAAAGGCCGACTGACGAGCCGCTCGGTGTTGTTGATCTTGCCCTTAAAACATTCATCTTGTCTTCAATATTTTCATGTTTGTTATGGGAGATAAACTTTGGAGCTTTCATGGTTACAGGCGATGATATCTGTTGTTGCTGAGACTGCAAACGAGTAGGCTTGGTGATTCGTGCATCATTTCGAGGTGAGAATTGAGACAATTAGTTTTTACTGAATACGACTCCACAGTTCAGAAATCTCTACCTCCCGCATGATTGTGAAGTTTAGCTTTTTAGAAAGCAGTGTTTATGGATTGAAAACTGTTTCATTTTTGGGACCTGTAAGCTGCTTAAGTGATTCTATTGCAACAGTCTAAACCTTGCAATAACTTCTGATGTCATGAAATTGTTGTGTTAACCTTGATGATTTTCGATTTATAATTGTCGTTTTTCAAATTTTCTTATTCTATTTTCTAGAAAAGGTAGGTTTTAATGACTAAGAATCAACAGACTTGGGTAACTTCTAAGTAGTTTGGATTAGGGGTTTTTGTTAGCTCTCGAATTGGTCTTTAAGATATAGCTATGTAGTAGAACGTAGTATTATTTGCCAGTTTTTGGTACACCAACAACTGGTCATACTTAGCCGGTATTCTTTCTTAACAGTAAGGGATCCTAAAACTATCTTTGCACTCGCATGCTTTGTAATAGAGTTTTATCTGGTGTAATCGAAAAGCAGGATTTGAGGTAATTGCGATCATATTGTTGAGAAGCTTTGAGATCACCAACGATCATGAACATGGATACTATAGTTGAGGGATCTCACGAAGGCGCTTCTACAAGTAGTCGTAAATTATCGACTCGAGAAATCGAAGCCAATGCGCAGTTGGAACAACTGAAGCGAGAAAACGAGCGTCTAAGAGCGACTAAAACAAAGACTCATATAGCTCCCACAATAGATGAGTCACCCCGAACTTTGCAAGCTCGGGAGCAGCTTGAGCAGCTGAGACTGGAGAATGAGAGATTATTAGCGGACCGACCAATACCGTCTGCTCCGCCCATGTCTTCCCGCACATACCAGAAGCTGAATCAGAGTATCCAAGCTGAGCCTGAAAACCCTCGGAGCGCAGGCTATCCAAGCATCGCTGGGTATCCTGTGGTGTCATCTCCTAATGCCGATGCCTCGGACACACGAACCACAGCATGGAATGTTTCTAGGACTGCTCCAAATGTACCTCCTGCTGGCATGTCTCCTCGAACAATGCAGGCTATGGAAGAACTGAATGCATTGAAGCAAGAAAATGATAAGCTCAAGTCCAGTAAATTGGCTCCCCAGAGTTTGCAGCAGACACCTCGAACTGTTCAAGCTCATGAAGACCAGCAGTCGCGCGTGTCACCACGAACCGTCCAGGCTCTGGAAGAGCTGAATAACCTAAAGAAGGAAAACGAGAAGCTCATTGCTAGTAAAGTGGCTGGACCACCTCCACCATCTCGAGTCATCCAAGATGTTGGAGATCGAAATTCTCGGGTATCTCCCCGGACTGTGCAAGCGCTGGAGGAATTGAACGCACTCAAGAAAGAGAATGAGAAGCTCGCAGCTAGTAAAACCTCAGCGCCACTACCACCAGCTGTTCCTTCTCGAACTGTTCAGGGTGTTGCAGATCAAGGCTCTCGCGTCTCTCCTCGAACCGTACAGGCACTTGAGGAGATGAATGCGTTAAAGAAAGAAAATGAGAATTTGATGGCAAGTAATGTGGCCACCAAGTCGGCTCCAGCTACCAAGACAGGTGGTGAGATCGAAGGTAAAATGGCATTCGATGAGAGGAAGTTGGATGAGGACAAGAACGTTGAGGAGGAAAAGCCGAATTTAGAGGCGCAGGGAAGTTTTTCCTTCAAAGTTGACTTAGTCGAAAGCTCTGCAGCTGACAAAGCAAAATCAACTGTAGTTGCAAAGTCGACTGAGGTTTCGCCTATACCGGTCATGTCTTCACGCACTATTGCGCAAATTAGAAATGACCCTGCACTTATTGAAGTAAAGACCAGAACAGCTCCAGCGGCACCGACACCTCCATCCGATCCCGCTATGTCTGGCCGGACTATGCAGGTTTTAGACGAGCTCGAGAAGATTAAGAAAGAGAATGAGTTGTTAAAAGCCAGCAAAGTAGCGGTTCCAGCTGGCATGTCTGATCGGACTCGTCAAGTTATGGATGAGCTTGAACAGGTTAAGCGGGAGAATGCTAAGCTTATGGCAGTTAAAGTCGATGCATCTGCGACCCAGCAGAGACGTTTAGCTTATTTGGAGCAGAATCATGCTATCGCTTCTAAAGCCCGTGCAGACGAAATTAAGAAGATGATCCTTACAAGCCAAGAATTGGATCTTGCATTTTTGGTAGATGCTACTGGCAGCATGCAGGTATGGTGTTTCGTTTTATCGCTTTCGCATGTTTTTGTTTAAAGACCTATACAACAAACAGGAGTACGGAAGGACCCCATAATCTACATCGTGCAAGTAATTTTTTTTGTAATGCTTGAATAGTTTCATCTTCCTCAACACTTTCTGAAAATATTCTTTGTTTTCAACAAAAATAATGGATCTGAGAGGAAGATTTGTTCTTGCTTCGTCACGATCATTGTTCGCTTTGCCATTTGAAGTTTAGAGAGGTTGATTGTTTTGTGATCATTTGAAGTGAAATGAATTTTTAGTTTCATATAGATCATTGTACTGCTAGGATTTAGCAGAAAAAGAAGACATTCTCATATGATTTGGATGAGGAAAGACTTTTACGTGCCACATTGAAATCTAGTCTAATGTTTACTTTCACAATAATGTGTTATTGGAACTTATAAATCTTTTTGGAAGAATGCAGTGTCATTGGGAAGGCAGACACAGATTACATTCGTTCTGTAAGCTCGTGAGGTCTTGGTTATCCATCACCTAAAAATAACTGTTTTATATTGGTTTTGTAGATGTGCATCAATTTGATCAAAGACACTGTGGCGAATATGGCTGCTGGGATTAAGGCACAATATCCAGAGTGCAAACTGCGTGTAGCTTTTGCACCTTACAGGGATTATGAAGACACTGTTAAGGATGATGACGAGGCTTGTGACTTCACGAGCAGCTTCACTGGATCTGATAGTGCTTTTGTGAGAGCTTTGTCGAAGGTTCGTGCTTCTGGCGGAGGAGATGATGCAGAAGATGTCTTCACCGGTATCGCTCGTGTAGCGGGCTTAAGTTGGAATTCTGTAAATAGGATTGTAATTCATATTGCTGATGCACCCTGCCATGGTGTCCAATTCCATGATGGAGTGGGTGACTTTTATCCAGCGGGAGACAAATACGGCCGTTCAATCGAAGCTCAGCTGCGACTTCTACATGACAAAAATATTTCAACTTATTACTTTTGCCACTTGAATACAAGCACGAGAAAAATGTTACAGGAGTTCAAAAAAGGTGCCGGAGGCTTATTGACAATAACGGAGGAGCAGTTTGCCAACATCAGCAAAATTCCGGAGAAAGTGGTAACATTGTGTCGAGGCACCATCCAGAAAACACTGAGCGTTGTTGGGCACCCTGTTGCAAACCCTGCAGATATGAAATATGTGAACGAAGTTGTTGTGACGGCTATACCCTCATGGTCCGACGTTCCATTGTTGACTGGTACTCACTACAGACATAAGTAAGTCCCGATTTTTTTCTTATTTCTTTACAGTCTTTCATGATTTTGAATTATAAATTATGATTAACATTTGGCTTGTTAGTTGGAACGGACGGGAGCCGCGACGGTTTAAGATTGATGGTGGGATAATTAAATGTGCAATGATTATGCTACTTATGGTCATGTGCAAATGCAGTAAAAACCTAAATTGAACGTCCTTAGGGGAAATAAACGTTGGTCTTGATTGTTCATGTGCAAATGCAGGTGGTACCGAGCGCTTGATGACCTGCTAAGCAAGATCAACCGGAAAATGGCAATTGATGAGGAACATGTAGATCACGTTCAAGTTCAGATTGCGAAGCACCCATTTAGCTCAGAGGGAGCAGTGAGATGGCCATACTACGCTAAGGTGACGCATCCAAGTGAAGCTCCTCGGTGAGTGGAAAATTGATTTTTATCAATTCTGTATGGCAAATTCTGCTCAAATGACGTGCTTGCAATCAACCGCCAAAATTTTATGCATTTTCAAGTTGTTATGGTGAAAGCCTTTTTCTGTACCCTTTTTGACGATAATAGTATTTTTCATAGGTTTATGGTTGTCAAGAGGTTCAAGACTGCTTTGAACAAAGACGTTCGGGAAGTGCACAAAAGAGACCGATATTTAGCACAAATGGAGGTGCAGTCCGTGGCCGCACAAATGGCCGAGGAATTCAACAACAGGTAAAGAATAACTTTTTCAAGTTGTGGAATGGATGCTTTTTAAAATGCACTGTTTCGTGTTTCCATTTTGTTGTGTCCGTCTTTTCAATTTTGATGCTTGGACTTATGAACACCGTGCCTTGCTCTACGAGCGTTGTAATTGGCGAGTTTTACTTGGTATCTATATCGTAAACTCAAGCTAGAAGATATTAGCTGTTGCATGATTCTAGACGACAGTATCTTGTCTTGACTGACTATGGCGAAGAGACGTGAGAATGACTGAAATTTGTGGATGTTATGAGCAGGACATCAAACTTCAAGAATGTAAAGAAGGTAGAGTTTACGCAAGTTACCACTCTGGAAGTTGGTTCTGGCCCAACTCGGAAGTTCTATAACATGGAGGAGGTTCTGGAAGGTACTTGGATTCGATATTCCAATAACGGTGGCTACGTGAATACATTGGACTATGCCGCTGTTCTACAGGCTTTCACACATTGGACACACGAGCGATCTAGAGGTTTGCTGATGGTGAACGACTTACAAGGTATTCGGCAGAAAAATGAGCATGGGGAAAGTGTGTTTCGTCTCTGCGATCCTGCCATCCATTGCACAGATGTGATGCGTTTCACACGTACTAACTTGGGCCCGGAAGGCTTCAAGCTGTTCTTTGACACTCACAAGTGCAATGATGTTTGTAAACACCTAGGATTAGCAGTGGGTACAGCTGGGCGTACAATATCGGGCACCCACGTTGGTAAATATTGGTGAAAGTCAAACATCCTAGGTTAGTGAGTGTGATTTTGGAATTTTGCTATCTGCAACCCTCTTGTGGACTGTAACATGTACAGTAGTGGTTCAGCTTAAAAGGTTGTATGGACATGCATGGGGTATATAGGTGGCGAACAAGTTTTCGGTTGTGATATCCATCTGAGTCTACTTTGAGAGGCATCGAGGTAATAAGATCTGCTTGTTAATGCGATATCTAAGCAGATGCATGTATTACGAAACCGAGAGACTATATGTCTGATATTAATGAAACCACTGGCAAGGTGTAGAGCTTTTGCCGACTACGAGGTTCCTCATTAGAAAGAAAATTTCGTTGTTGCTTCTCGTCATAGCCCATACCAATTGCACCCTGACAAAGACCTCTATTTTAAGCCCAATATTAGTCTGCAAGCCAAAAGATTTAAACAGCCATTTCTGAAGTATAGACCGTGCCGTAATTCCTCAAGCACCAGACATGAAGTTTCCGAATGATGATCATCACACAGTATAGGAAAATGAAGATTGAACCAGCTACAATCTAACCTCATGTTATGTCCCGTCTCTTATTCCACAAGATTCTAGCATCTAAGGGCCTACAAATGTGTGGAATGCTTCAATCTGCTTGTGCGGGTGGAAACCTCACTGTACAAAGCACGTCAGAGAAGGCACTTTTCCAAAACGGAATGAATAGAAACAACCTCGGTTCTTATGCTCATTGCTACTTACGAGTAATCCATGGAAAAATTCTCAATTAGAACACACCATAAAACCTTGTTTGTGACCTGAAATGACGAAATACCAGGTGCCACAGTGGAATATCGTGACTCAATTCCTGGGGCACGGGCAATAGAATCTAAGCTCATCGGAAAGGTTATCGGCCGGCCGGAGATACTAAGCAGCCCAAGTGTCATCCGGCAAGCTCACCACGTGATGGCAGCTCCTGACTGGTTGCGAAAATTCCAGATTGGGAAGGACCATGCTTACTTGGCCTAGAGGGGCTTATAAACATACTACAATCTCACTTCATTGAGGGAACATATCAGTGCAGTGGAATCTGGGTGGTCATGTGGAGCAGGCAGAAACAACAGGGTGGCTGGCAAGGTGTGCAGGGTTGAACAATCTTCAACAACGTGCGCGGGGGTTGTTCTTTTTTTGTGCCTTTTGTATTTTGGTACGGGAGCTCTTGACTAGATGCAATTGCTGCAAGTGGGTGCAACTGTGGATGACGGTGATGGAGATGGTGTGAAAGTGGGACGTGGGGAGCTTGGTGTTGACGTGTATTCAGTGTAAAAGGGCCCGCAGCGTGTTAGATTTGGTTGCAGTACATGGGTCTGGATGTCATGGGCTGATGTAAAGAGATCTCCAGCCTTGGTTTCATTCTCTGGGCTTTGTTAGAACAGTTTCGGCGCGTGGACTAGGAGAGTGCCGTGATTGTGAGCCTGTGAGGACCATGTGGTTGTTCATTTGAGGTTTGTTGGATTTTAGTCTCAGGGTGTGTGTGTGAGAGTGAGAGAAAGCGGGGAGGAAGGTAGAGATGGAGCCACAAAGGGGTAAAGTTCGTTCGAGATGTTGTGCAAACCGCCCGGTTGTGTGCTTCGTGTGTTTTTAATGTCGACGTGCTTTGTGCCTGGTTTGGGAAATTGAGATGTGGTGGTCGATTGGCTTCTACTGCAGGTTACTGAATATCATCACAGTGTGGACTTAGGCCTCGTGGAAGAGTTAGTTAGCGTTGATGCGTCTGATGCGCTTCAGTCTGGGCTTGACTTAGTTTGGTAGTTTGGGCGTCACTGTGGGTAGGATTCGTGCATGCACGATTACAGTGAAATCACCTGATCATGTTGAACTTATCTTTAGAATTTTCGTGAACAAATTTGGCAACTGTTGGAGTTACTGTCTTGGAGGGCTTTCCTAAGCGGTGTCGATGTTATTTGAGATTGTGCGTGCATCGATTGAGGCGGGTGGATTCTATACAGTTTTATTTCTATGTATTACTGCCGCTCTTGCTGTTAGGCTTAGTGGAATTTAACGGTGTTGCTGTTACCACTGCGGAAGCTTGATCTAGGTTTTGATCTCTGCATGTTTGTGACTTCACCAGGTTGAAAAACGAAACAAAGAATTACATGCAAAGACATCCAGTAACGAGATAGCCATGGGAGGCATGGCGGAGGCCAACCACATGGTGATGAACGAGTCTCAGAACGAAGATCAGATTTTAACGCCAAAGACTTTTGAATTAAGGAAGCACGGCTATTTGGCATTGGCGAGGGGCTTGGGTTCTGGTATCTATGAAACAACAGGACTCACTAGCCAAGCATCAGGAGGTATAGAGATATTTGGTATTCAGAATCGGGACTTGGGTGCAGAAAATGGAGATGGTACCCAAAATCTTCGCCAATCATCTATCGATACGGAGCCTCACACACTCGATTTAAACACTGTTAAAGAAGCCAAGGTTGTTATCTAAAAATGTCTCTTGTCACAGAGCAGACCAGTACATCTGAACCACTAAGAATTGACTAAAAATTAGTTTTAGTTTTTTTCATTATGTAGTTTTTCATGACTGCACTACAACTATCTGCGAATACTGCCAAATTCCTCGTAGAGTTGGCTGTGGCAAGTTCTCTACGACTCAATGAAGTTAAATTTCATTTAGGGTTTTTATCACGTTAGTGGGTAATTTTAAACGTCACTTTTTTCACATTTAGTTTTTTGTATGATTGAACGTTGGGCAAAGATACTAATCAAATACCTGGTGGCGCACCCTCGGATTCATGAGAAAAGATGGAACTTGTTGATAGTCCAACTCTTTGGATTTAGAGATATGTTTGTCTAAGCTTTGAACTCTTTGTGTCCGCAGGAAGGAGCAATAGAAATCATACAAACCTACGACGCTGATGATGCTCTTCATTTGTTTCTGAAGGTAAGCATCAAAATTGGGATTTGCGCCATATCTGTGCTTGTATCTTCAATGTTCTAATGTTATCGTGCAATAATCTTGTATGGACAGATTGTCGGAAATTGCATGGCACTGTTCAGAAATGAAATCTAGATCGAATGTAGCTCATTAAGATGTTCAGCAAGTGATGTTGACTGAAAAGAATATTTATCACGTTTTTTAAAGGACGAAACCTCATTCTGAATAGAGCTCGTTCATGTAACGTACAGGATGCTGAAGACGAACAATTAAGGAAGGAAGCTTTGGCAGCCATCTTACCCACTTCCGAGTTTGTGATAATAGGTTGATCCCATATTGTGGATAGCTTCGTGGCATCACATGAAGAATGTCCACACTGCTGAGAGCAGCAATTGCTACGCAGCAAGCAGTATATATGTGTTGGCATGCTTAGAGTGTGTCACAAGTAGAAAATAGATGACTAGAAAATTCGTGGATGCGTTTGGTGTGTGGTAACTTTGGCAACATGAACTCGCATTCTATAGATTTCTTAGCGTGTTTTGGAAGGCGCAGGATATAACTGTGTAGAGAAAAAATTAACAGTAGAAAATGGAGTCAATCAAGTGTCACTAATGAAAGGCTCTACATTAGAGGGGGGTGAGAAGGCCCACTTTACAATGAGAAAAAATACCAGTATCTATACGATAATACAATGTTGTAATATTGACTTTACACAAGTAACACGAATGTTCATCTTTTTTGGCTCTTAATTACAAAGCTAAACCACGTTGGCAAATCAGTTGTTATCTTGTGCAGGGTACAATTGTTCATTATCGCTTCAATGTAAATCTAATTTGGCGCCTAAATGAAATAGCTAGGTAGAAAAAAACTGATACCGACCCTTCTGTCGTATGAAAACCAGACTAGAAGAAAGCACGAGTTTTCCCAAAATAGTTGAGTCTACTACAACAAGGTAGCACTTGTACAGTTCGCGTAGTAATGTAAACCATAAGTGGGTTTCGTACTTCCTGACGTCTTCGACTTGATCAGATGACCAAGAACACCAGGAGGTGTTGGTGGCTGCGATCGCAATAACTTCTTAACGATCACATGCCCATCATATTCCAGCATCTGAAGCAGCTCCTTGGCAGTCTGCACGACAACATCATGAACTTGAATATGGGTCACAGATAATGCTTCGTTCAAACTTTTACTTAAAGAATACTCGAATAGTGATTTAAACAACTTCCTAAGGTCACCCCTCAGAACTACAAAAAAAATGAATCAATATCTATATATAAAAATAAATCACTATTCTTTTTCATTTAAATCCATCCCCAACCTCACACGTTCTAGCATTAGGGTATTTCTGCCCGAAAAATTCTGCTCAGTTTCTGGCTTGAAATTTTATAATGAAAGCTCAACATACCTGTGGATTAAGAACATGCAATTGATCCACGAGGTGTTCCTGGGAAAAATAACATCCAGAAGCGTTAACTTAGGAGGTCTAAACGCGAGAATTACCATACAGTAGTCAGATAAACGAGAAACTACTCAAAAATATAAAATATAAAGATAGAATCAGCATACCTCTAGAATTCCAGGGTTTAGCATAACAATCCCAATCACCCTCCGTAAGAGAGACTTCAGCAGCAAGCGGTTTACGCTTCCATCTCCTGCTAGCCACGGCAGCATGGGAACGGTTTGAATCGCCTCAATATCCTCGTTTTTACTGGCTGAAAGCATTACCCGTCGATGATTACTATCATCTTTCGGCAGATTGGGCTGGATTGACGTCCAATTCCTAGAACCTATAGCGATGGAATTCAAGGTCGCAATTGTTGTAAAGCCTTGTGCAATCTTTTCACATGATTTTCCGCTTCCTCCAGAGGATGCATCTGCGAACCACCACGAGCTTAAAGTCTTGCTTAACGAACGGAAACATAAACTAATGTAATGCTATAATAAACCATTATACTAAACCAGCGTGACAAAATTCTGAATATCAAATCGCGAATAATATCCCTATACAAGCAATTAAACATGTTAAGAAAAAAGTTCAAAGTCAAGAATTACAACACGGGTTACAAAACATAAAAGTTTCTCTCGGCATCTATTTAAAGAAGATCCATATTCGATGAAGGAATCAAGATGAGCCTAACCTGCATCCGCGAAACCATTTTCTCCTTTCGTTGCTTTCACATGTATGAAAAATGGAGAACTATGCACTGCTGCGATTACGCGCACATGATCATAGGCATTTACCTGTCAATGAACACAAAAATCAGTTTACTTAGAACACCGATGAATAATAAGGAATATCTCAACTTAGGCCCGCTTTTGAAAAGAGAATGATATATTTACATGCTTAAGGAACGATAGAACACAAGAAAATGCGTAAACATTGTTCACAGATCTCTCCTCGTCAGCTTATCTTCTCACATTAAATCACATTCAAAGGCAGTACACCTATCACTTAGTTGGTGAGAAAACGATTTAACTCTACAAAGAGATCATTCGAATTCACATTCACACCCATTGAAATGCAACTTAAACAACTAATTCAGGAAGAGCGTATCAGGGAAAGTGACCCTCTATGAAAGTACAAAAAGTAAAGAGAGGATGATGGTCAATGAATATTGAGAATCACTCGACACTATATCATAGACCTTAAACGAGAGCCACGGTAGGCGAGTATTGAACGTTGAGTAGCACGGCATATACCGCCATTAACAATCAACTTACACAAAATAATCACCATGATATGCTGAGTTACTGTAACTATGAACAGAAAGAACTTGTGCAATAAAGCATTCTTCACAACTTCACACAGAGTCCTCTAAGCAGAAAGTACTTCAGAGTTAGTCGTCCAAAGATAATAAGTTCGAAAAGGATGTACGAGAAACCTCACCTTTCTAACAACATCAAAGGTCTCCAATGCAGTGACATAGGTCTCCACTATATCCTCAGTCAACTCATGATCTGCAAAATGGTTGTCAATTTAGCTTGAAACATACGACAAACCTTGAAAACATTCCATGCTTGATGATTATAGACATACATCTAATGGTCCCACCTCACATGCAGCTCTCGTTCCACTAAATAACAAATGAAAGCAACTTTTACCCATGCGTTCGAGGAGATTTGTCAACTGCTGGACGTCGATTCCTTCAGTCCCTGCCTTCTCAACTGCATGCGTGGCTGCCTTCAAAAGCACCGGTGTTAACTTGGAGTCTCTGCCCTTACTCGCATCTAATGGATCCGCCGACGTGGAACAAAAGTGATGTATACAGCTCACCAACTTAGAACTTGTATCACTTCCCGCCACAACTACATTGCAATCAGCTGTCTTCGAGGATTCAGAAACAACTGCTGAAGGAACGGCTGAGGTAACCTCCTGTGCTTCAGTCGATGCAGGAACATCTACTGCTGATGGCATGGCTACATCGACCTCGGCTACCTCTGTGGATTTAAAGACATCCCCTACTGATGAGGGCGGCACTACATCCACCTTCGTTGTGACTGCAGATTCGCATAAATCCGCCGAGAGAACAGGCTCATCGACTTCCATTGCGTCAGTCGGTTCAGGCACACTTTTGGTCGTTGAAACCATTGTCTGTCCTTGGTCCAAATCCACTGAAAAAAAATAAGCAAAACACGAAGTGTGTAAATCACCACCCTCGGTAAATGTGGAAATTTTCACCCTTAAGATCCCTTTTCACAAAAAATATAACTTCGTGAGCAAATGAAATACAAGAACTCGAGCAGATCTTTCAAAGTTAGTAGGACATCAGCGGGGATAAACATACTGTCATCATTGAACTGATCATGATGATGGATAAGGTCTTGGCTTTGTGAGATAACGGCATCCACAAGCTCTCCAACAGGTTTCCTAGCTCGGTGAATGCACACCTGCATGGCAAGTCCGTAAGTATACAAGAAAAAAGGTACGCAGATAAAGGGAATATCCTACCTTATATATATCAAAACATTCTGCAATTTAATTTGCTGAAGTAGAGCTTCTCATCATGTAAGGTAAAGTTTTCTCTTATCAAGATGATGTGCAATCGAAGCTTGCTGTTTATAAAACAAAATACATACGAGAAGGTTGGGAATAATTAACCTGAATTCCAGGGAACCCTCTTTCTCGACGAAATCCAGGGGAGGATGAGTCAGACCGTTGGATCTTAGGCTTCATAAACTGAATCTCCTGGCCTCCTTCAGTTTTTCGCTTCGTTCCCAACACAATAATTTTGTTGTCCTCACTTTCTCCTACTCCTTCTTTGGGGAGAAAAGGGGCTATGTTCATTTCACCTTCACTAACAATTCCAAGAAGCTGAATCAACTGCCCACACAAGCTCTCAGTAGGAAGCGGCACCCAATCCTCGTCCACCTCGGAAACATGTTCAGTTAGCCATTGTGTGGCACCAAGAGCCTCGAGTCCGGTCTCAGAAGGAAATCGAGAGGCAGAGGCATTGTGATAGAACTTCTGGGAGAGAATAAATGGTTGACTATTGCCTCCGACAATCTGTACCAGCCACACGATTTCATAAAGGATAGATGAGAAAATACTCTAAAACAGATCAGGTGCGAAACTCTCCGTATCAACACAACAGCACTTTAAATGCAGGCGCATGGATGCTGAATCAACACACCTACAATTTGGAAGTATAAACTCACCACGTATTCTTGGTACCGCAGATAATTAAATGCGGCGAAGACATGTGATTCTTCACATCGTCTGAGTGCATCCACCAGCTCCGAAGGAACTTCAGCACTTGCTGCGTTAAGCAAGACCATTTTCACAAGCTCAACTGCGTTTGCGATTCCCAAAGATTTCCGCACCATTTCTTCAGATGTCATCTCACCCAGAGATGCAGGTTTTTCTGATTTTTTCCGTTTACGAACGCGGGGAGCTCTTTGTCGACCCCGGGAAGCTGTTACAGAAAGGCTTGTATTAGAGCCTCTAGAAACAATCACATGTAAAAAACCGTTTCTATGAAGCAAATGTGTATGTATTTAAAATATCCTCTTATAAAAACTTATGTATCAGTCCTCTTGTTATAGGATAGAATCGACGTGCGAGGGTTGAAACTTACTGGTCGCCGAGTCGCCATTTCGATCCATTTTCTTTACATCTGCACCAGAAGGATCCACAGTCTCAAGTGCGAGCCGTGGTGTAGACTGTATATCGTCCTGGATTAAGCTGGAAAGTGATGTTGGTACATTATTCCCAGGGTGCTTCGGTACGTTTGATCGAAACACTGAACTTCGCTTACTACTTATGGCCTTCGCAATATTGCGCAACTGCATGACCTCATTCAAAGCCTTGGCTACCGAAAAATATTCAAATGAATCCCAAGGCAACTCTTTGTCAGAATTACTAATTGCTAGTTCTAGCTGATTGGCGTCAGTGTCTTTGTCAGAGTTAGGCTGTGCAACTATTTCTGTATTTGTTTCCTTAACTTTACTTTTTGATATAACATCCTCTTGTCTCATGAACCTAGCCGACAGTATAGAACAAAGATTCATAAGAGCTTTCCGAATAGCAGGATCCGATTTCAATTGAGCCATTCGACGCCTACAGGCAGCAGGATTTGCAGGAAGAGAAGGTATAGTAGCCCACTCCACACGATGGTTACGTGCACCCAGTATGGCACGTTGCCTTGTATAGCAACGTATCAAAACTCTGTAACAATTACAAAGAAAGATAGGTGAAGGAATAGTTTCTAAATCAAGCAAAGGGGAACCGTAGCCTCTCAGATGCTAGTTAAGGTAAATTCACTACTGTACAAAAATGAAAAATCACTATCCAATTACAGCGATCTGATCGATTTGTTCAATAGTGTAAAATCGTTGAGGCTTATACAAAGATCTATAAGTGAGATGTAAGCTTTTTCAAAGAAGAACAACGAACACTTGCATATCAATCAGAAACTTTAAAATACAGTACCTGTCTAAACTTTCTGACCAGGGAAACCGTTTACTGCGAGTAGGTTTCAATTTCGAGATGGTTTTAAGATAGTTAAAAGGATTTTCCTCGGTCCCCTTATCTTCCTCTTCATCCTCCTCGGCCTCTTCTTCATTAGGCTCATTGGTCTCTCCCTCTTTGTTGGAAACAAGCAGAGTATCCACAAAACCTGAGATCAATCATGAGCGTCAGGCATATTTGTCCAAGCCAATACTTTGCACGGCTAAAACAATTGCAGTTTCCCACACAAGTAATAAATATTAGGATCATAATTGCTGCAGAGTAATGAAAAAGGTAGAATTAGAAAATGCAGTATTTCAACACAGGAAAGAAAACTTGCAAATTTATGGTCACGTCGTTGTCAAGGATTGATTACAATATCTAAGTGACAACTTTGACCAAGAAAATAACTTGAGACACAACCCACCAGTAGACGCAGAAGCATCCTCAGCGGCAGACGCTTGCTCCAATTGACGTTGTCGTTTGTAAGCCCTCACATGAGCAACTTCCATAAGGTCTGCATCAGTAACAGCTCTCTTTTTTGAACCAGCATGTATGTTTGGTTTGATTCGATGACCACTACTGACTTCGTTATCAATTCTTCCACCTGAATCCATATTCTCCCTCCCCAGCTGTTGAAGTCGATATCTTCGGTTCTTTTCATAGGACACCCTCAAAACCTGTAGTTGACTCAGGTCAGCCGTATCTATGCATAGCACTAACTTAACGAGCACAAGCAGACCACATCAGTCCTCACATCCAGTTGACCACTAGGGAAATTTTACGACATTTAAATTTAACTTATTCGAATTATTATGATCACCGAACAACATGATTTGATCAGCATCAGTCAACTATTCAACCGTCTATAATAATGAGCTTTGCAGCAAAGCGAGAAATAAATAAATAGTAATATTCGAACAACAGGGCCCTCATACACAGTACCTGTTCGGGAGAAAGGTTCAATTCCCTGGCCAACTGTAAACACTCGGCATGAGACAACCTCTTGTTCTCACCCCCTTCCTCCACTCGCTTCATTAACCTCTTTCGTTGCTCTGAAGTCATTATCCGGAGCGAAGTCCATGACCGAAGACCAAACAACTATAACCATGGTGAAAGCAACAGATTACTTATCAGAAACAAACACGTAACATTTTCATTTTCTTGAGTGATGCAAAGAAGGAATCTACCAGCAGTGCTTGCTTAAATCGTACCGAGAGAGCTAGAATTAGTATGAACTACATGAGAAGGAAAACAACGAACAAAGGTGATACATATACAACACAGCTATCCATGCATCACACAGGAAACTGACCTCAGGAACGCTAGCACCTGGAAATGCTTTCCTTGCAACTCTAGGTACCGCACCCAAAAAGAAATACTCTAGGGTCTGCCAATAGGCCTCCAAAATTTCACTTGAAGTCAAGGTAAATTCATGCCGAGCTCTTGGAGTCAAGTCGAAGGCATCTAAACTAAGAGACGACAAAGGTTGAGGCGCTGGTTCTTCTATGTAAGGCTGTATTTCCATGGCATATATGAGTGATGCTTCAAGAGAATAAGTGGAACCCCGACTGAAGCCAGATTTGGAATATCCGAGGGGAAGACCAGTTCCCATCACCAGCCGAATAAGCTACGTGGCAAACAAATCCCACAATAAGTACTGGAGCATATTTATTTCTAGAACTGCACCAAAGTTTTATAAAATATGAACAAGATATGAATAGATAGGAAACTACTGCACTCTAATCATACGATTGTTTTCTTTCTGCACGGTTCCCATACTGTGGAGGTGAGGTCACTAATGCAATCTGAAAGAGAGAAATAGTGACGCAAAGCTCCAAGCAGCACTGAAATCTATAAGGTGCTTAGCTGCATCAAATTTCGCTGAGTTTTCTTAACCTTCGGGATAAAACATACTACAGTCAGTACCTTACATGACCACAGTAACAGATATGACTGAAATGAATTTTCCTAAAATCTGTTTAAATACCACATTAAATTGTGGAATCTGACTTTCTGAAGGCCCACATCAGCACTTGAGTGAGATCCTTAGGAGTTATACATGAGACATATTTGATAGAAAGGTAGTACTAAGTGGTTTTGATTAACCGCCTCGTACCTTTAATCGCCGCAGTATATCAATCAGCCAAGAAAGACGACTATTTGCATGCGAAACAAGCAGTGACGAACTTTCTGATTCTGGAAGATCACACAAGCGTAGTCCCTTGTTGGTGTAAGGCTCCAACTCTTCTGTTGACTTAGTTGAGCCGACAACTTGCAGAAAGAGATCCACAGGCATTGCCTGCACTTAAAAACACTTTGTGTAAGAGCAAGCAGAATATCCACAAAGCCCCAACCAACGTTTTCAAGTAAAGATCATCGGATAAGTTATCTGGATAACATCTCCAGCTGCTAAACTCTGAGTTATGATTTCTGTAAAAAGCACAGCATACACAAAGCGTCTAAGCTCAATACCTTCACTGCAAGCGCCAATGAAAAAACCCGACAAGAGCTTTCATCTGGCTTCATCACCAGCTCGTCATCAGCGTACTCTGAGATACCATTTACATACGACCACAGGAAAGTATGAAGCATCCGAACCCGAACCATCTTTGCAGGAACGAACCCATTTTCACTCAGTGTCCTAGCCTTCTCAGCCTCAATTTCAGCTGTGGGTTGAAATTTTCTCTTTCCACCTTTGTGAATTTGCTTAACACTCGCCAAAACAGGGACTGAGGAAGCATCTGCTTTAGCTTTCGATGACCCGTAGCCCCTATTGATCATGTCAAACTGACGAATGCGGTCATGTACTTTGGCAAGCAAATCAGGTCCAACCTGCACTTCAGGAAGAAGAACGACCTCACTTTGCCGACTCCGTCCACAATTGGTAAGGCCAGGCATGCTCAAAACAATGCACTTAACCCGACCCTCTCGCTGTAACTTCTGAAGCAATCGTGTAAGAGTCTTGCGATCCATCATAGTGTCTTTACGATCCTTCTCAGATTCTTCAATCCATCTGTGAAGCTCCACCCGGGGTATGAACTTCTCTTCCTGTTCCACATCCAAGCAAAGCATACATCAATGACAATCTTACCTTGCACATAAGTTCACACCTACAGCACCTACTAGGCCATGTTTTCTTCATCAGCATCAAGTAAAGCTTTCTTGAGAGTTAGTAGCGTGGATTTTGAAAATCACATACATCAGAAAGTGAAGGCTTTTAGGACTAGAAAATAAGAGGATGTTTACATTCAATCTTTGCATGATACGAAATTCCCGCTGTATAGCTGTGGTGGTCTGCAGCGGGAATGGATACATCTGCCCGAACCTTCATGTAACATCAACACGATAACTGTAAGTTTAATCCAAAAAGGCTTTTGGTGTACGCAAAACACAGACCCCAATAATAAGGCCAACACTTAAGAGACACTGTGAGCCACTCTGAGAAACCTACTTTCAAACAAGACGAGTTAATTACAGAAACGAATTAAACTGGTACATGTTGATTTGATAACATGCAATAAAATCATAAGACAAAGTTAGTTCTCATACGTTTCAACTAAGGGCTCGTCTTCATCCACTTTCACAATCGAAAGATCCAAAATTCGACAGTTATTTGATTTCTCTGGTCCATCCGAAATGTTGGTAATCGCAAGGACCTCTGTATTGTCCTCTATTAGGCTCTCTTCCTTCTCCTTCTCCTTTCCCTTCTCCTTTTCTTTTTCTTTGTCAGAGGGTTTTCGTGTCCTACGAATTTTTACAGCAGATGGGGGAGCAATTTGTGCTACAACCAGTAACACGTGTTATTCTAACCATCAAAGATCACAACGGACCTTTTTCGTGAATGAAGAACATTGCAATGTAGGACAATCATATAAATAAATCAACCAAAGTTAATAAATAAATGAGAGAAAAAAAGGAAAAAAAAAAAAAAAAAAAAAAAAAAAAGTAGATATTCCTGAAATCAAACGTGCGTCCAAATTTGCACCAGTAACACCGTTCGTGTAGTTTCATTGTGATAACACATTTTGTCCACTATGATCTTGGCATTCTTTTGTACAAAAGAACTAGTAGATATAATATGAATTATCATAGCAAGTGACTAAGACATAATAACAACTGTAACATAATCATAAATTTGCGAAGATGAAAACCCAAAAGATAAAGGTTAAACAACGAGCAATGATTCGGCTCTATGTCCGCGCGTATCCTTACCTTTAGACAACTTTTTACACAAAACTAAAAAAATCACAATACCAGACACGTCCACAGGGTATACCTAGCGGAGGAATAAAGTGTGGTTCTTGATCTGCTGGTGTGGGGTTGGAAGCTGGTTGAAAGGCATTAGGTGCTGTTCTAAGTCGGTAAAGCATTGATTTCTTGTGCTGCTCTGCCTCGGAAACAATGCAGCCCTTCGCAAGCATATTGGTAACCCGGAAGTAGTTGCGTTTGTTGTTTAATCCTAATTGCTTCCAAATCTGCATTATAACAATATTACTTCCAATCACTTAACACTTCTGGTCTAGTACACCACAATCAATGGCAATGCAGCCATAACGAGTGGCGCATATAAGCGTAAAAAGAAAACAGCAGTGCTATATCTCATACCCGATTAAAAGCGATGACATATCTTGTTAGCTTTCACAGAAAAGACTACACCAGATGGATATCGAAAGACAGGATACCCGGGAAAGAAAATGTAAAATTGGTGAACTATTACTTACATCCATCATATACAGTCCACTAGGACCTGAATTATCAATAAGATCATAAATCTGACGGTCAAGGACACTTTCAACCACTTGATCCGTTACTTGGCCCCGTTTCACACCGCGTAGTTGTGTCTCAGCTTCTGTGTCATCGCTCCCTGCACTGAAGGCTTTCGTATTGAAAGATTTTAACAACCTGATACAAGGTGCAATCTGCAATTAAAAAGACCCCTCACTTCTGGTTAGGCATTGTTGAACTCGCTGCAAAATGCTTCAACAGAAAAGCACTGAACCAGTTCCCAATACCTTAAGAACTACTAATTCACAGCCATCATGAGGTTAAAGCGAGTACGTTAAAGAACTTAATCTTAAGCGATTTTGCAGTATGATGCAGACTACTGACAACTAGTGGAGAGTACTCACTTTTGACCCCGCAATCTGGGCATTAAAAATTTCCACCATACCAGCATCCTGGAGTCGTTTGGCCAGCTGCGTCAACAAAGAACAGCCTCATATCTTCATTTTCGTAACACATTAAAATATCCACTTTCAGACTCCAAGTGACGACAAAAGTATCCACTGTGCTAAATATTCTTCCAGTGCGCAGGGACATAGATAAGGCAGATTAAGAAAATAAAATAAAACTTATAAATGAAATTGTTGATTTCAAGAACAATATTGAAACCCATGTCCAATTCCAGCCAAGATTCCAAGTTCACAAATCATTTTTGAAAAGGAAGACCACATACTCTGCGCCAACTCCGATGGCCTTGAGCAAAACGATAATTCAGATCTAGCTTCAAGTCCGACACCACCATCACCTTTGTAAAACCACACGCAGAAAAACATAGAGCATCAGTTTGAGTACCCGATTTTTATTTTTTATATTTTTATATTTTTTTCGAGGGGGGAAGAGGGTGGTAAGAGCAAGTACTTAATTAGTAGTAGCAGCGATACGACCCATGTCGAGGTACTGCATAAGACAAAAGTGTTTTAAAGGGTGCTCAACATCCACTCAAGCCCATTGGTTCTGAGCATTGGTGAATCAGATAATAGAGTGACACAAAGTGAGCCAACAAAAACACCTGTGTAAGACATACCTTGTCTTCAGCAGATTCAAGCTTCTCACAAATTCGTTGCATTGCAGGGTAATCATCATTAATAAGAACCTCCTCAGTTGCATGATTGGCGTCTTCTTCTCCAGCTGCTGCATTTCCAGACCCAGAAACGCTATTATGTGAAAGATTGGACTTGGATGAACTTGGGATCTCATAGCGTGCATGCGAACCAAGGTTTTGATCTTTCTCATAGCGAGATAGATGGACCAGATTGGTCGCCACAATAGGAACAAACTTGTTATTTGACCCTTTCACCGATGGTTGATGAGTACGCACAATAGTAGCATGCCGAACTACAAGCCCACGTGACTCCAGGCTTTTCACGACATAAAACATTTTGTTCCCGCCTGTCTTAAACTCTTTGCCCAACTGGCTTTGTGTAACTCCTTGACTCCTATGAAATCCAATACAGTTTCACCATCAATAAGAATACTTAACTCGTAAGCTGGAGTGACCAGTGTTCTGAACAGGACTCTTTCAACAAGACCTTCAAAACACTGTTCCAAAAAACAACTTAACCTCAATAATACATAATTTAACCTGTGATTGGAAACTTCCCTCCGAATACGTACCTTGAAAAATAGTTAAAGCACATCGGCAAAAGCATCAGCATGAGGAGCAGCAGGTACAAATAGCTGCAATAAACCACTGAAAAAAAAGAACAAAACTGGTACGTCGAAGCTGCGAACCTGGCCTTTGCAAGCCGCTCAAGAAGCTCTCGCTGGTCTCTTGAAATAGCTGCATCGCATAGTTTACCATCGTACAAGCCCAGGCAACTTTCCCGTAAGCCCTCGGGAGCTACGACATGCACCCCGAGCTTCTCTGCTTCCTCCACCAATTGAATAGAGGGGTGACCTGCCTCTACGGTTTGAGATTCTCGCAAGTTTGGAATCAAGAAGGTTATGCGTGGAACGTGAAGCACTTGTTTCCAGAGCATCTGCTTGACTCTTGCATCCAGATCTATCTCTAAGGCTGCTGCAGCTCCCTGCAATCCTGTCCATAACTTTGGCAAGGAACATCCTGTGTTCCCACATAGAAATTCAGATTTAAATTCAAAATGCAAGACCCTTAGACAGATATTCGGAAACGCAACCACAAAAAAAAGACACCACAACACATAAAAAGCAAGTAGGAGCTGTTGAGCTGCACATTAATAATATCGAAGTTGATCACCCAGCCACAAAGATAGTCGAACTCCACGAGTATTTTCATCTTACAAGGTTAAGTAAACGACCACGAAGACTCCCCTCTATTGAAATCCCTCACAATTCTATGAATTCCTCCAGCTACATAGCCAATAGGCCGATCCACACCACCCAGCAAAGCTTCAACACTTCCACACAAAATAAAACAAAGCCAGCACAAAATCTGGCAAGATCGTTCCAATACAAACCTCAATGAGCACACAACAGAAAAATATAAGACCAACACAGCACCAAACATGCGCGCTTCGAGAACAAAGACAACAGGGTTGCGACCAATTGAAATTCACTCATTAAGGATACTAGAAATTTCGTAATCAAGAACTGAGAGGAAACATTAACAAAATGTAGCATCAGGAAATCAACAACAAGTGCTCTCAGACCGTGTTATGCTCCAGAGCGCTTTAAAACAACTCAGCCGCTTCGATAAAAATACGCACGATATAGCGCCAAGTCATCGGATTGCAATTCCATCAAAGGCATTTAAAATTTAAAGCGAATTCAATCAGGACTGCAGCGAATTTTTCCTCCGAATTCAATACCTCCTGGATTCCAATTGCACTGATGAACCATATTGAATTTGCATAGTGGAGACAACACAGCCAAGAAAGAATGCACGAGGGAGAGGAAGGGAGAGAGGGGGCGATGCTTTCATACCTTGAGCTGCTTCAACAGCGATTTCATGCAGCGCTGTAGACACCAGAGCATCCATGGCGCTGCTGCTGCAAAAGCTGCGCCAATTCCTCCCTGGCGCTCACAATCGTTCGCGCTCGTCACCAATTGCGCAGGCAACTCGAAGGCATCACCATTCTCCTCATGAGTAAAACCATCGAGCAATAGGGTTTCTCAAGGTTCGATCTCACGATGTTTGTCCACAATTCGTTGGTCACAGGTCTTGCCATCACGAGTCTTAGGTTCTCCGATTTTGCGGTGATAGGTTTCATCGTCTTCGGTCATAGGATTCCTTGTGTGGCTAAATATAAAGTGAACCACACACACTCACATACAAATGTATGTATATATGTGTGTTTGTATTTGTGTATATGGTATTGATGTAACAAATATGGGGCAGGTTGTAGTTCCTGATAGTAAAATTGAATATTACAGCATATGATATTTTTGTAAGAAATGGTGTTATATATTCATGTTTAAGTTTGTAAATGATCATTTGTGATTTTCTGACATGTGAATTGTTAGTTTTTGGAAATTGAAATAAAATTACTAAATGAAGTTGGAATTAAATTATGATAACTATTATTTTAGGAAAATGATAAAGCAACCAAATTTTTTACTAAATCAATCCACATATTTAAACTATCATTATACCCTTTCAACCCCATCCTTGTCTCCATCCATTCCCTTGTTTCCAACTATTGCCCCATTCCTGACATTACCAACCCCTTGTTTCTGTTCTTAACAATGGTTGGGAATGGGAAACAGTTAGGAACATGGATGCAGGCTGCAAGGGTGCAATTATAGTTAAGATAGAGTGAGTCCCTTTAGTAAAAATTTGGATCACTTTATCATTCCCTTTATTTTAATATTATATTATATTTTTTTCTACATGTCACATTTCTACAAAAAACCAGTTGGAATTTGCAAAAGTCAAAATTTTGGACATCGGTACAATCTACAATTACTGATTGCAAGGAGGAAATGCTAAATTCGGTTTACGCAGCCTGAGTCGTTTTTACTATTGCTTGTTGATGCTGGTTTACTGGCTTATTTTTGTGTTCATTAAACCCTAGAAGAGTTGCTATCGATCTGTGGTGAACATGCTTGTTTCCAGTGTGTCTCTCTCGACATTTTGTCACAACCGTGATTGGATTCCAGCAACTAGAACTTTGGAGTGTAGACAATGTGTGTGGTGGTAGGGTTTAGTGCACCCAAGGATTCGTGGCTTGAGGATTGCGAACACGCCGGGTGTGTAGAGTGCATGACAGGGATGGCAGTGACAGCAATGTGGAGGAAGAATGAAATGTAGATTGGAGTAGCGGAATGGTGCGACAATGGCATGGCAAGGTGTTTCGGATGCACGCTGGCGAGCTCTCCTCGATATTTTCCGGAACTCTACATCTGCTGTGCAAACGGCAGTGCGCTGGGTGGAGACGCAGGGCTATGGTGATGCACTTGGTAAGGCTTCCACGCAGGGGAATGCGCGAGGAGTCTTGCAGTCCCTGTCGCGCTTCGTGCCGGAGCTGCTGGCAAAACCTGTTGTGGTGATCGAAGAACAGCACGACAACCCGGGCGCTACAGTGACAATTTGCAAGTAGGTTCGTTTCTTTCCTTTTCCCATTGTGCATTTGGAACCGAAATGAGAGTGCGACCCGTGTATTACTTTGTTGGCCGTTTATTGGATGCTCTGGTTCTAATATCATCTTCTCACTGGTTCAGAGATGGCGAATGCAAGCGAATTTGTGTATCTATTTCAAAGAATGTGTTCGACCATAAGGTCCTCTTGCGATTCCTTAGAGGATTTTTGCAATTATGAATAACAATACTCAGTTGAATCAACAGAAATAAAATTATTGCAGTATATTCTGTAAATTTTGATGACGATTTCGTTTGAAAGAGAGTCAAGATGGTGATAAATGCTAAAAAAATTACGGGTAATAATTAGCAATACACATCTAAGTGAAAAAGACTGTAGTCATGTCTGCAGTTGAGTTGATTGATTCTGACGTTCTGATTGCTAGTTCCTTTGTTCTTTATGCAGTGAGTTGTGGATACAAACCCTGCCCAATGCCATGCAAACCAATATTCTCACATTTTTGAGTGCAGAGCGGCGCCATTTCCTTTCTAAGGATTTGGTTGCCCTTGCCTCCACTTTATTGGCCACCCGTGGCATTGACTTCTGGGTCAAGCTTGCGGCATCCAATTTGCTAAATGTTCTAAATGGCGAACCCGACGAAAAGATGCTGTGCTTGGGTATGATACCCATTATCTTGTGTTGTGGTCATTTGTAAGTAAGAAATTAATTGGTGAGATATTTCTGTAGGTTTTTGAATGTTCATCACTGAACTTTGCGCTTCAAGTAAAGATAGTCTTCATGAGATGTTTTCTTTTAATTTAAATTTTAAGTTCACTAATTAATTTTATTTTTGTAAAAACAATTCCTTAAAATTTCCTAAATACGTACGTTCGGTCAACCATTTTGTGTATTTTGGTCCACTTCGGCTGGATGTATTATTGATTTGACTTCAAATGAAATACATATGTGGAAGATTACGAGTCTCTACACGGAGGGCTGCTGAGTATTTCTCACGTCTCGTTGTTTGATGCACATCCAGAGCAGAACTGTGCACCTGGCCAAAATTCTGCGCTAGAACAATACTCGTCCTTGCCTAGTTGGATCGAGGAGTACAAGGAATTACGATCGGTGCTGTTGTCAGGGCTTACCCTGCGACATGAAGATGTCATACCCAGAAATGACGAGGATCCATTGACACAGGAAGGACTTGCCAAGAATGTGGCCGACAGCGTTGACAATAATAGAGTTTTAATGGATGAGGTAGAGATTTCAACTGCTCGCCCTGAGACATGTTCACAAACCGCATTGGGCAAACGGAAGCGCGATCCAGAGCCAAGGGTCATCTCTCAAGCCACATCACCTCATGTACAGGTTCAGGAAAGCCAAGGACCAGAAGAAACAATGCCTGGAGGGGAACACCTTGAGGCCGTGAATGATGAGGACGAGAAGTCAGTAAGGGAGTTGCTTGGGAATGATTTATTTGAAAAGGCGAAAAGTCTCGGGATAGCTCTTCAGTCAAGGTCTTCTCATGATGGCTTACCTTTCGACATTGACATATTGTCCAAAGCTCCAAACCTGTCTCGTGTTCTCAAAGTTATCAAGCCATGGCTGGTTACCGATGAGACAACCAGTTTGCTTGTAACAAGCCTGCTCGGTGAACAGTCTGGGTATGCTCAATCAACACAGATTTTAACACATGTGCTCCTTCCCAAGCTAATAAACATGGAAGAACCTCCTTCAAGAATTCTGAGTTCCGCGGTGCTGCAGGCAGGTAAGGCCCATCCACGAGCGACTATAGATGCTGTTGTAATTCCTCTTCTGTTAGAGACGGATGTTTCTGGCTCAACATTAAAATGTGATCTCATTAATAGGGTGGTGAAGGAGTGTTTTTCTCCCGAAGCAGCTTCTTCTTTATGCAATAGGCTCTTCTGTCCTCGGAATTGGGTCTGGACCGATGGTACAGTAGGGGTGGTGCAAACCCTCTTGAATCAGAAGGTATCACTGGAGGAAGTCGCTCTAGAAGGCCTGATTTCTTTGTTGGAGCTAAACTGCAATCAGTTTTCAGCCTCTTTGAAATTCAGCAATCTATTGCTGAACTTAGTAACAAAGTATGGATCTCAGGTCAGGCCATACAAACAAGTACTCCAACAGGTTGTTTCAAGCTCAAAAACTTTTTTGACAAAATCCATTTTGACGAAAGTCTCTGCACTTTAAGGTAATCTGCATTATGTGGTGTTTACAGATGTAAAGATGTAATCTATGTATTACGAGCACTTCCAGCACTCAGCTCTAATTTCAGCATCTACGAATATTTCAGTCTTTTGCTTGATTATTGCTTCCACTCCATCATTGCATTAATCTAGTCCTAATTACTGTATGCGCACTGTCAGTATGTTAATACAGGAGTGATGCTTCCAGGTCCTATGTAAATTAAGGTACTTTGGCATGTAAAAAATTTTAAATGCTTTTTGATTCTTAAGGACTAGGATACTTTATAATAAAGTAGTAGTTTGAACAAGTTTCTCAGGGATTAGGCAAAATAGTATGCAACTTTTTATACTAGCCATTTCATTTTTTTCTATACAGTGTCAAATTAAAAACAAAAATAAAAATCTTCTTCAATTGTTTTTTGGTATAACTGATGTTATAAATGTAATTGAATCTTTCTTAAAATTCATTTGGACGTGTTTTTTTTACTTGTACAGAAAACATTGAAGTTTTTATATGATGAACAGGTTGGTAACAATTAAGATGTCCTGTTTCAAATTTGCTACTTTAAAATAGGGATGTCTATTTTGATGTTTGTTTGTTTGTTTGATTGTATGTCTGGTTTTTTATTATTGGGCAACTTATACTATCTAGTTTTTACTTTATGAATTAAATTATCATAAAGCAAGATTAAAATATTTCTACTTTGGTATTAAAACATACGAAATAAATAAATTTACATTTTTATTTACATATCAACATGTCCAATGTAATTGTGTATTAAATCACACAAACAAAATGTCCAATCAAACTACTTAATCATAAGTTCATTATTTTACATTTTATGATACCTCTAATCTATTTGCCGAAATAAAACCTATGTTTTTTCTGATTTAAATAGCAATTATTGTAGGAATCTCAGAAGTAGCATCAAAGTAACAAGGAATCTTTTAAACCTAAGAAGAGGAAGAATTTGTATTGTTGGGTATAGAAGCTCTTTTGAGATATAAGCCATGCATAAGTATTTATAAGCATTGTTGGGTGCACAATCATAGTCATTGCAATTAAATAAAACTATTTTTTGTTTTGGTATTGAAATTATGTTTAATATGTATGATCTTGTCTAAAAGAATTGTTCTTTTAGTTTGATTATAAGTTGTATAAATGAAAGTAAGCATGTTTCTACTATTGGATATTTTTCTTCTTCTACTAGTTATATTTGTATTGATCTGAAGTTGTCCTTTGGCTTTTTTCTTAAAGCCACAATAATATTAAAAACTCAATTTAACTTGGCATCATATTCTTGGCCTTTGAATAAGTCAAATATATCTATGTAAATTATTTATGCAAACTATTGATAGCTAGTATCTATAGAGGCAAGAGTGAAGCCATTGATAATCTTGTTAATACATTTTTTTATATATTGTTGAATAATCTAGTTAAGTAGACATTAGACTTAGACAAATTAGGTTTGAATAATGAACAAACATGGATAAATAAAGTCTAGAAAATAAAAAAAATCTAGGTTTGGATAAGAACTCATAACTAGTCATTTGTACTTAATCCACTTTAAAAAAACAAATTCTTAGTTAAAACAAATTATGTTAGAATAATAAAATATCTCTCCTTGTAAAATGATTAGAATTATTACAAAGCCATCTTTATATGGGTATCTTTACAAAGTCAAAATTTAAATTTTTGTTCAATAAATGACTATTTGAATTATTATCTCTAAATAAATTTTAACAACAATATCTTTTCTTAAAGACACACCTACAAGACATAACTTACTAAGAATGCTAAATCAAAGATACTTTATATCCAAACTTCATCTTTCAAAGTCAATCTTTATTACATAAATAATCACCTTATGTTTTTTAAAATTAACTAAATATTTTTTTAACTTATTTAAAATACCAAAGAAATATTTATTTGAGATGGTAGAACACTTAATATTTAAAATGACATTTAATATTTAAAGAAAATTTAACATTTAAAGAACATTTCATATATAAACCTTTTGGATCCAATACATTAGTAGTAAAATAATTGATTGAATTATCTTCCAAAAGATTTAGATTCACTTTAAATATTATTATTTTTTTATTAATTGACATTTATCTAGACAAGTAGGTCCGAGTTTTTTTTTGCCATAAGTTGAGTTTGTATCTTTTTAAGTTGGACAAGACCGAAAGACCAATGCCATTGATATATAATTTTTGTCTTTTAAGCTAGGTTTAATTTAAGAAATCTAAATTTATTTGATTTTTATTTTTTATTTAGTTATTTTTACCAATGAAAGATAATACCATGATATATTTGTTCCAAGCATAAAAGGATATAAATTTTATGCAATCTAAGCTTGCTCAAAATAACCAAAAGAAGATATTAGAGTTAATTAATAAGAAAAATCCATAATCTTGTAAGTTTGAATAAATACATAAGCAACAATTTTTTTTTTATATATATAACAAGAATTCTAAACTGTCTAGGACTATTAGGTAATTCTAGATATTTAGAATTTATATATCTTAAGCCAAGTTTGAAGTTGGAAATTACTTGAAGTTAAGGATAATATAATTTTTTTAAAATATAAGAGATTAGATTCCTAATTGGGTTTTTAACTTGAAAATATCTCTTGTACTTGAAATAAATTACATCATTCCTTTAAATTTTTCATCTAATTTTTTTGAGATCTTCAATTAAATCTTCAATATAACCTTGGATTTTATAAACTATTGTTGTATATAGTGTTGCTATATCTTTTTTGAGTTCTATTTTAATCTCTTATTTTTATTTATTAATTATTTTGGTGACTTAGACAAGTATCATGGTAGGTTGCTTATTTTGGCATAATTTGTTCTCAATTACTTCTATTACAACAATAATAATAATACTATTGATATCTAAGAAATTAAATCCTTAGAGCAATTTTGCATCTATGGCATATTGTATATAGAAGCTACATGATTGGAGTATATAATTGACATAGGAGTTTAGAAGTTTAACTATTTTTATTAAAAAGCTTCTTAAGCACTACTGCATTCACCACCTCTAGGTTGTAGAAATTATTATGTATGTCATCTTTTGTATTGTCGTAGTATAGTAAGTTGCTTTTACTTTAATTACACAATTATTAAATAGATAATTTCATGTGTTGTGGTTTTATTGATGTATATGCTTCCAAATTTAGTCTTCATTTAAAGCTAATCTCTATAGTATCAATTAGTAGATCATGAATTGTAATATCTTTTAGATTAATACTTGTTATCTTTGATATGAGTTATTTTATTGTAGGCTATGCCATTAAAACCTTTAGTTGTTTTTGTTGCTTTCTTCTTTCTATCTAAAATGAGTTTAAAAAAATGATTTATATATAAATAGTGCACTTTTGTTAATATTTAGCTTCTTATGGTGAATTTTAATCATGGTATTTTATACTTTGAAGGCTTTAGCTTTATTCAAGAATGCAATGTATTGAGATATTACATCCAATTTTAATTTTATTTGCTTAAATCTAATTCTTATCATGTTTAAAATTTCTTTGTTTATATTGATGGATTTGAATTTTTTGAAATATAGAACTTTTAGAATATAAAGTCATTATTATATTTAATTAGTTTTTGTATCAAATAATATTTGAATTAGTTAGAGATGTTACCTAAGTTGAATATCTTTTTTTTTATTATTAATAATTAAAGTTTTTATTATAGTCCAAAAAATGGTTCTTTTCATTCTAAATTTTAAATTATTATTATAGAAATTGAATTAGATTAAAAAAAATTAAACTTATACAAATATAATGATTGACTATAAAAAAGTAAATCTAATTTGAAATATAAAAATTATGAATATCGTTGAGATAAGAAGATATTATAAATCAAAATATATTTAAATAATTTAGCTTAAAATAGACCAACTATAAAATCAAAAGATCTTAAGATCACTTTTATCCAAAATATATGATTTAGCAAGATCTTCAAAATAAAAATCTCATCTTTGTTAAATTTACTAACTCTAATGTTAATAATAAAAAGTATGTTCAAATTATAAGTTAAATAATAATAATTAAACTATAGTATGTTGATACAAAGAACATGCTATTAAGATAATAAAGAATCATCTTAAAAGGAATAAATTCTCTAAAAGATCTAACATCCAATGGTTGAAGTAGGTCTCAAGTAATGTATCATAAGATTAATAGGATTTTATTTAATTTAAAAAAAAATAAGTGGCAATTTTTAGACTAGATCAATCTTAAAATATATACTAAGGTGTAATTCATTAGAAGTGTGGATATTTTTAGATATGTAATAAGTATCCTTAAGTGGATGTGATATATATTGTATTTTTTTTATTATCAATTTAAACACACTTAGCCTTTCTATTGGTCTTTTATATATCAAAGATGATTCTATGTTTAAATGATAATGGATAAGACATATATCCACTCTATCAAGTCAATTATTACAACAAAAACTAAGTTGTGCTTATATTGCTGAATAAGATATTAGCAAGGTTGTAATTAGAGATAAAGTGAAGATGGAAGTCTTAGAAGTGTCAACAATATGAGGTATTCCAAGGAATGGCAAAATCTAACATCTTGTATTTAAATAGTCCTTTCAAAGTAGAGCACTTAAGTAATCATAGATATAGAAGCCCAAAGAGAAGGCAAGAAGTTCAACTTACATCCTTAATTATCCAACTTGATAATTATTTTTGTTGTTCAATAATTGATAAATCCTTTTGAATGCACTTTGGAGGTTGTTACTTCAAAAAATATTGTTGTTGTAGTATCAAAGTTGGATCCAAGTATTTTGTATGATTAAATTTGGAATAATAGAATAAGTGCACTCTTCTCTCTTTGAAGTTGTGAATACTATTCAATGTTTGTTCAATATTAATCACAAGTACAAATATATATATATATATATATATATATATATATATATCAAGAAAAAATAAATTAAAAATATGCTTAAAGAACTAGCAATTGGTAAAAAATTTACTTAGTTAGGTGTAATAGAAAGTGAATTAAGATACTTCAAGTTCATTTCTTTGAATAAAATAAAGATAAATCAAATGTTTGAATATGTATATATCCAAGACATCCAATAAGATAGATTCTAGTTATTAGATTCAATATTCATTGGTAGAATCTATTTGAAGTTATATTTTAGAGCTTTGATTCTTGATATTGGCATTACATGGATGTATTTATTAGAAGAAGAAAAGAGGTTGAGAAGGAAGTATTAAGTAAAAGCTTTATACGATTGTGCAATTTTATTTTAAGACCATATGAGAAATAAACTTTAGGTCATTGCAAGGAATTTTTGGCTAATTGACTATGGCATATAAGAAAAATTTGCTACAACATGTTCTAACATATTAATAGTCTTTTGATGGCTTTATCAACTAACATCTATGTTTTCTTGTGCCAATTGATTGTATTAAGATTTTATGGCTTGAATTGTACTTTAAAGCAATTATATTCATCACAAGATATCCAAACCTTAAGTTTGGAATTCAAGTGTATCAATTTTTTATGTACAATAAGGTTTAGAATATACAATTTTTTAATAAAGCTAGTTTTTTTTTAAAAAAATTATTGATGCTTTGTCTTTTGGATATATCAGATTCAATCATTTTAATATCATGGTCTTCATTGGTGATTGATTTTTTTAGCATAAAGGCATTTATGGTATAAGTATTGGTATTTTTACCTTGATTGTCTTAAACAATTGCTTATTCATGCTAAATATGCTTTATTTCTTTTAATTTTGTATTGTAGTTGTTACCTTTGGTTTTCTTGTAATCTTGCTATAATTTTTAGTCAAGCTAATATAATAAGTATTGTCTCTATCAACCCTTTAAAATTGAATCTATAGATATAAGCTACTAGTTGAGATGTTAATTGTGTCTTTTTTGAGAATGCATTTCAATATAATTTAAATATTAGCACTATAATAGTTGAGGATAATGTAAGTACATATGTATTTTTAAAAAATATATTGATATACATGTTTCTATTGGTTTTGAGATAGTTTAGAGTTTGAAATTAGAGTTGGAATAGTAAGCTAGTATTAAACCATATTATATTACTATTACTAAATTTATTATTGACTAACTTCCAAGCTTATGATAAGTTGGATATCTTGTATTTTTTTCTTTTTTTATGAATCTTTATTATTGTACGATATTTATTATTTATTCTTTTTTCTTGTAGATTTTTGAATTATAACTTTAGTAATTTGTGTTTCTAATGTGATTTAATTAGCATCTTTAAATTAGATGCAAAGAAATATTATAAATGTAAGACAAGGGATTTAGTAAACTTACTTGATTAATGATTGTATAATTTACAAACATTATTCATTACTAATGTATCTATCCTAGATGATGTGTTGTTTGTTACAAATTTAATAAGATGTTTGGAAATTCATGCCAATGTAGATTTTAAAGTTGCATCAATTCTTTTCTAGTTTATACAATATATGAGCCAATTTGAGACATTTGTAGTGTGATGAGGCTTGCCTCTTGTATTTTTTAGCATTGGTGTTCCACTTCCAAGCTACTAATTTGTTCTCTTGTGTAGTTTTTTGTGTACTAGTGTAGTCCAGATCTAGACTGCACTAATATAAATCCATCATGCCTTAGATCTATTTGCTTTCTAGTTCTTTTAGCCACATTGGGACTATTGTAGATCTAGATCTAAGTCAGTTTAATAGAATCCCTTCCAACACATTGATTGGTGTTCTAACTCAAAGTGGCAAGCTTTATGTGCAATCTTGCAAATCAACAGCAAGGAGTACCTCATCTCCAAGAGTGCTTTTCAGACACCCATCACAGACTTTCTCTCAAAGCTCTCACTTGTGCACCATACCTCCCTTTATAAGAAAGAAAGCAATATGATTGTATTGCTGGTTACTACAGATTAAGTTCAAGGATTGAGGGGTTCTACATTGATATTAAAAAAATCTGTAAACTGCCCAAATTCTTTTGACAATCAATGGCTATATTGGATAGAATAAGGTAATGATACAAAAGGAAAATACAAATTACTATTTATAAATACATATTAATGCACACATACATAATTCAAAATGAACACTCCAACCAAAAATGATCATATGCATCTTTTTTCACATAGTCAATATGACACTTCACAAGTGCTTTTGATGCAGAGTTTTTGAAGTACTATACCCATTCTGGACACTCTACCACCTAGAATATTAATAGACCATGTATTCAGCATCATAATGGATGTTGCACAAGCTTTTTAATTTCAAATCACCATTTAACTGCTTGTTCACTAGTTGAACTTTACATACATTATTATTATTATTATTCTTGTTACAGGGAGATTGGTTTCTGTGATGAATCACTTGACTTCAACAATACTGTAGCAATACTATATTTTTTAATCATGTTGTAATCACATTGGTAGATATCAGCAAGTCATAACCTATCACACCACACCACATGGCTCATAACTCCACATATTTGGAACCGTGATCAGTTGTCAACTTCCATCAGTCAACTCTTTGACCAGAGGAGAGAGGACAGAAGAGAGCTTAATACATTTTGCGGGTTCTGATGGAGCACCTCGGAAATGAGAAGAGCCGGAAAAATTTCTTGGGCTTTCCTGTGATCTCTCTGAATGGGTCAAGCACCACAAAAACCCTAATTGTTGTTGTTGCCATTGAGCCTCCCCGTTAATCATCAACACAGGAAGCTAGCTGCCCATAATGTATGTAATCAATTAAAGCCTCCTAAAGCCTGCAGTGCCATGTCGACCTCGACGACGACGAACTTGCGCTGCACGGCTCGTCAGCGAGTGGCCCTACAAGACAAGACTGGGCAGATGTGAACCCCACTTTTCGTCGACGGCGTTGCACCCTATGCTGCTATGAACGGACTGAGCTTGTTTCGTCGACGAAGTTGGACGAGAAATGGGACGAGGTCGTCAGGTACAGTCGTCCCTCCGTCCACTCTCCACCACAAAAGCGGCCTCCCCTCTGAACAAGCCGCGAGCACACATTTCAGAATTTTGCATCGTGGATGGAAGTGTGGGCTATGGCGATGTTGCGAAGCTTCACGCTTGCCGAACCTTAGGTTGACTACGTCATGGGTGTCCATCTCTAGCTTTCCGTCCGCATTCGCACCCTCAGCTCCGTGCTTTCACTGCAAGTCGATCTGGGCCCTGCTCTCTCTCCCTCTCCCTTTTTTTTTTTTTTTTTTGTTTTTTTTTTTTTCCTCTCCTGTGATTGATTGGAATTCTGTACACTTTAGCGCAAGAAGTTGGTAGCTTGCTCGGTTATAGGGTTTCTGGATTTGTCGCTTATGTGGAAGTCTTTCAGCAATTCTTGTTTGCATGCCGTTGTCTACAATTTTTATCGAGTTATTCGACCAGTACGGAGTTGTTGAGTTGTTCGAGTTTTTGGGTTGACTGGTTTGGTGGGTTTGAGATTTAGAAATTGGGGGCTCTAGTGGCAGTGTCTGTAATTTCGCAACTTGGATCTTGGCAGTTCTTAATGGCATTGCAGCATTTTGAGCGTAGCATTGTTGTTGCCGTTTCCTCGTTATGAGCTTGATGTTCTTTTCTGTCTCTGCTATTGTCGGCTACAGTGGTTCCTTGTACTGTCGTAAGCGAGAAAGTAGTATTTAATTGCCTCCTGACTCATCAGCGGGCACCTTTCGCGTGTGGATTTCTATCCTTGGTTGTATATGTAGTCGAGTCAGAGAGAATTTAGCAAAAAAATGTTATGTCGCTGAGTTCTCTTCACAACGCAACGGTGTAAAGTATTGTCAGTCTTGGAAGTCTCGTGCATTGTTTTATAGCCCAGCTTATTTTGATATCTACATAACTGAGAGAGAAGTTTGTATTTGGGCACAAACTCTTGTATGACAACGATATCGAATCAAGGAGTGAGGATAGCAGCTTGCGGACCTGGAATCAAGAGGGGGGTTGCGGCCTAAGCTGGAAAGGAAAATATCTTCAGAATGTATCAGGTTCAAGGGAAAAATTATACAAACATGGAATTAGTTCCCGCAAATGGTGCTCAGTCGGCATCCAGCAACCAAGACATACCTTCAGCATACGGTGCTACCTTTTCTAGTGATGGGGGGGTTAGCTCGGCAGACCCAAAACCTCGTTTGCGATGGACCCCGGAGCTTCATGAGCGCTTCGTCGACGCGGTCGAGCGTTTGGGTGGCGCCGATAGTAAGCCAATCGTGCCTGTCTCACATGTCCAAAAGTACAATTGCACATGATCTTGCTTGTGTTCTGGTATAATTTGATGGGATGTTTCTTAGTTCTGGGAATGATGAGTTGTGCCGATGCGTTCTTCATGACAGGAGATGTAAATCCCCAGTAGCATCCGTAGCCTCATTTGCATATCTTAACCTCTCGCTTTTTGTTTTTGTCCATCTGTGTGTCTTCTCAGAGTTTTTGGTTTTTAGTTGTTGTCGTTTTTATTTATTGTTTTTATTTTTATTTTTATTTTTTCGCTCACGGAATTCTTGCTGTATGAAGTCTTATTTCTCTCGGAGACTGTCGGAAAAAATACATATTCCAGATTGTGTTCTCTGTGTTCGAGACGCCTCGAGGAATGCGTTTAGACTGAACGATTTTTGAGCTGATTGATGGTCCTTCTGAAATGCAGAAGCTACTCCGAAATCGGTGATGCGGGTGATGGCCGTCAAGGGTCTCACTCTTTATCATTTGAAGAGCCACCTCCAGGTTAGGGTTTTCCTTGCCATATGGCATACTTTGTTTGTATGGTGTCTGTACCTGCTTCATTGTCTCGGCACTCTTAGCCTACGCGTTTCTTTCTTCTATGTATGGAACTTATCATCTCCTTCCGTTTCAATGATAATGATCCATGGTGAAATTGTTCATTTTCTGGACATCTCTGTTCTTTAGTGATTTGTTAACTTCTTCTTCTTTTTTTATTTTTTTTACTTTTTAAAAATATTTATCTACTTACAATTTTTTCGTCAATCGCGTGTTGAAGTACATACTTTATGTGTGCTCTGCCAAAAGAAAAAAGAAAAAAAGAACAAAAAAAAAAAAAAAAAAGAACAAAAAAAGAAGAAGAAAAGAACTGATCACTGTGTCGGCAATAGGTGTCCGTCTCTTCGTTGTAAAGTTCTAATGATTTCGTCTTAGACTTGGCTTTTATCTTAAATTTTCATCATCTTTACACCAACAACAAGCAGTGGGTGCAGTGAGACCAACTTGTTATAATATACTTTATATGTGTATCCTAATTTTTCTCTCAGCTCATTGATATGTCTTGTTTTGAGGCATTCTTTCGTCCGCCCCATACGTGCTTCCCGAGCTCATGCTGCGCTCACGTACTGGGAGAATGACAATGTCAAGACGAAGTATATCATGAATTAGAGCAAAATTGGGGCTACTATGAGACTGATGAATGTCACTAATTCGAATTTTTGCATCCGGAGCGCTTCCATCAAGATTCATTTTATTGTCCCTTATTTATGCATAGAATTTTCCTCAGAAGACTTCAAAATTTACAACACAAGAATCGAGAATCAACTGCTGTCTCCAGTAGTGGACAACTGTTTATGACATGTAATATATAACATGAAGGCGTCAAAGACAATATGCAGGTTATTGCTGCACTGCTCAGCAAAAGACACGATGTGGATACCTAAGGAGGTCATTTCGGGTGGAAAATCAGCTAACACGACATCTTTGAATGAATTTCTTTTTTAAAAATTCAATTACAGCATGACTTTATCAAATGTAGTTTTCCACTTTCTACTCTTGTGAAGCACTTGTGAAAGTCATCCTTTTAAATATTCAGGACGATTTGTTTTATTAACGAATTAGACTGTCTTACCTTTGTTTAACTAACCAGAAAGAAACATCTTAAATACCAAAGAAGGTCCTTTTGATTGTAATGATGAGACATGAGTTATATCTAAATGTGTGTTGCATATAGCGATTGGTTTGATAAATGAATGCTTGATAATTTTTTCACAGTAACGTGAGCAAGTAGTTTATGTACATAGAAAACGAACGAAATTAAGGGTTTACAAGATAAAGTTTCGCCTTTGTTCTTTGTTCATGAGAGGTACCCATGCTGTGCTTTGCTCGCCTGGGTCATCTTTCTTCTATGACGCCGATGTTCAGATCCTGTTGTAAATATCCAAGTATGTAGACATGGATGAGCGTATCATATATTGTCTGAACATATCCGTGGCATCGTTTGAACATTGAATGTTAGCTTAGCTCAAGCATCAGTTTTGCATTTGGCTTGCAGAAGTTCAGGCTTGGAAAGCAGCTCCATCGAGACAGTAGTGGGCATGAAGGCGCCAAGGGTGGTAACCACTTTAGTCTCGTTCCAGGCTGTCCTATCATTACTTTTCCTTTGTGATCATATACTACATGTTTCAACAGTCTTTAGTAGATTTCGAAATTACTAATACGCATCTCGTAATCCATAGAGTATGGAAAATCTCCGGGTTCATGAGTTCTCAGAGGTTCAAGGCTGTATGTATTGTCTCCATTTGTATTGTAATATTGGACGTTTATCTCCTAGTGTCTTTTTGTATTTCTTCAAATGTATTTAGTGTCTTACTTCAGACCACATGAACTGTTGAAGGTGAGCCGCTTTATCAGTTTTGAGCAAAGCCAGCTCGTTCTTATACCAGCAATGGGTGGGAGTTGCTTTGAGCAGGATCTGCTGATATTCAAGTTACAATCAGCGCTTGTAGCGATGGGCCAAGCACTCCGAAACCCCAGAATCAAGAGTATGTTCATCTCGAGACATTGTTGAATCTCTTTTTGGTTAGGTCTTATCCGAAGGCATTAGTGGTCTTACCTGGCTTCATGTGCTTAGCAACAAAGTTATCATTATGAGTTAAGTTTTAAAGAAGTCGGGAATGCTCTGAATGCTGACTTGACGGAGCCTCCTGTGTTACAGAAGCTTTCAAATATCTGAGGCCATTCGGATGCAAATGGAAGTTCAGCGCCGATTGCAAGAGCAACTTGAGGTTTTTTTCTTCTTAACCTCTTGATGTAGGGACGTTTCAAGTTTTTTTACATTGTATGCAATTAGTTTAGGTAGATTCTTAGTGTTTCTAGTTCTCCTGGTTCAAGTCGACAAACTTATTCTGAGGTTTTCTCATGGTCAGGGTTCCCATAGGGGCGATTCTGTGCAGCTTCTTTCTATTGATTCTCTGTCGACTACTGTTATATCTCTCCTTAAGATTTCTGTGCTCAACCGTGGACCCCCTGTTATCTGACGCAGATACAAAGGCAGCTACAATTGAGAATTGAAGCTCAGGGCAAATACTTGCAATCCATCCTTGAAAAGGCTAAAGAAGCACTAGGTAGTCATATCGGAGCATCTCCAGGCCTGGAAACAGTACATGCAGAGCTTACAGAGCTGGCTTCAAAAGTGAACAGTGAACCCATGAATATGTGTTTTCCTCCATTGACGTTACCGGAACTTCCAACTCAAAGTGCAGACGCAAGAATTGGAAACCTTCCACGTCAAGAGTCTCGTGTATCAGATAGTTCTTCACAAAAAAGCCATGTTACCAATGGCGCAGCAAACCCTGAGGACAGTGGTGGTGCCTCTGCGAGTTGCGAGAACCAAGCATCAATAGGTGGGTTTTTGAGTGATACCGAGATTGTAGTGTAGAGCATAGCATGACATCGTGTGGATGGATGGATTTCCTTCAAACTCATTCATTTTGCTTGATACTGTAGTGAAAATGTTTCTACTCAATGACGATATCTTGTTTTCTGAAGGATTTTCTTGGCTGTTGTAAGGGTTCGGTTCATGCTTAAGTTCATGCTTGTGCACAATGTGGAAAATAGCAGGCACTCGAAATATGTAAATCCATCGCGTTCTTTAGTTACTTGATAAGCATGTACCATGACGTCGTGGATAATAAACAAGTAGTTTCTGATGCTAACGATTTTTTTTAATTTTTATTTATTTTTTTATTTTTTTCGTTTGATTGTTTGATTGTTTGATTGTTTGTTTTTTGTTTTTTGTTTTTTTTTTGCAGGGATTCAAAAATTCGAGACCTGAAGGGCACCTCAAGGCCACCCCGTCCATGGGAGGTCCTCACCTAAAGTAATACCTAGGAGCACGTTTCCCCTCTTTTAAACAAGGTAGTTGCTCTGTGCTATCTTTTTCTTTGATAAAGTCCGTGTTTGTCAATAACCCTTAGAGAACAGCAGCTGGAATGATTCTCTAGCTGCATTATGAACCGTGGGTTATTCCGGAATGTTTTTGCAGGAAAGTTGTAGTTTTTCTAGAACGAAAGGTGTACAGAGATGCAGTATTATGTAGCATTCTCTCGATTGACCTCTGCTATATATCTCGTGGTCAAGGTAACAAGCACTTATCTCTGCTAAGAGTCGTGCATTAAGAGTTTTGAACCGTACATGTAAATACAATGCCACTTGATAAGGGATGGAAGGAGTTAGTCATCTCAATTTTGCACTCTTCTAGATTATAGTGAAGACTGAGTTGGAATTAGTGATATGAGTTCATCGAAAGAGCCTTGTAATTACATATTATTGTTGCTTACGCTTTGATTTGTGAAATCGTGTAAGCTTGATGGTCCAAGCTGGGTTTTCCAATTCATTCTGCAACTTTCTCTACATTTAACATGACATCTCAATTCTACTGGATCCACTTATGCAGTCACTGAGATTCTTATTGAAGATGTGTTTTAACATAGAATGGTCATTCTTGTTCCATCATATCTGTGATGAAGGCTCTGTAACGAAAGATCAGAATTTCGTTGGATCGAAAACTGATTTCACTCCATGGCACACACAAAATTGTTCCCCTTCAGCATGCTCAGTGGCTAACTTCGACCCATCCGTAGTCAAGATGTACCATAAAAAAGTTCTGACATGTCGAGTTCACTATTACTATGCTGATCTAAAGAACTTCTTTGACCCTTCGATTTCCATGTGAAGGCTGGAACGGTTTCCTAGGCTATCATGCCGCAAGTGGACTTGCAACGAACTGAATCAAGATGCCCTGTGATAGGTGTTCTTTATGCATACTTTTTGGATTCCAAATACCGCCTTCATGAGGAAGTTTATGTTGGAGTAAATCAATAGATCAAGTTGATTGCACAGCTTTCCGATTTGTAAATGAACTGACCTAGACGCATTTCTAACAACTACTATATGCGAGCGTAATTTTTAACTGCCATCCATAAACTAACTATAGCACTTCAAATTGACGCTCGTAGAATATTGCGTCAAAATCGCAGTGCACTTTGGGTAGATAGTTTCACGTTTAAAACATTATAATGGCTCATCCATCATTCGCTGACCGTTTTAACTGGATTATCATGTCGTCATATAGCATATCCTGGTCCCACTTGCAAGGAAGTGACGCTGCATTGGTAGCTGAAGGTCGTCCTCCTCAACACACCACATAAGACCCCTGCAGAATCTTTTCCGATTAACATGCAGATACACAAGCAATGACTGTCGGAACAAAAGAAAATTCCCCATCGGCAATCAGAAACCCTCACCATCGTTGAATAAACTCCAAATCTGCACATCTTTCTCCAACCCACCAACTTTTCTTCTTTTTATTGACTGGGTTACCTTTCCAAAAAACAGCCAATGATCAAATAATCAACTAAAGCAATGGAGTGCAGCAGACAAGTAAAAATGTCGAGAAGGACATGAGAACGTCCATGCAGTGTTTGACGCTACACACAAGACTGGAGTGAGATGCACAGGGCTGAAGCTGGAGGTTGACGCAGGATTATAAAAAAAGTAGGCTCGGGTACATGAATCCCTCAACCCAGGTACAACACGACTGTGCTGATGTCAGGAAAAGGGTTAGAGATGACCCAACTGCGTGGCACGAGCTTCGCAGCGAAAATAACCGATTTGGCAACTCACGAGAAGTGGGAAAGGAATTGCGGGACCCAACATGGCATGAGACCGAAGCTGGGTTTAATGGCGATCAGTCAAGGGGGCTGACTATTTCCGAAAACTGTACACAGCGTGACCCCGTGCGCCGTGATTCCAACTCCGAATCTTGGTTTTGCAAAATTAGCAAAATCCACGACGCCTACAAAGACCAGTGAAGTTGATTCCTTTGAAAGCGATTGGAAACCAGATTCTCTCACACACCACGGCACCGAGGACCACATTTCTCACCTTTCGGTATTGTGATGATCCTGTGAGTCATGCCCCGAAGACTGATCTGTGAATCCATCCGCATTTCGCAAATACGACCCTTTTCCACACATAGGTCCGATTTTTAGGGCGTACACACGCATTGACGGATCCCTAACATATTCATGGCTTCCTCACCCACTTGCGCTCGTCTGCGGTTGTTCTTGCGCTTCCTGCGGTAACGTCGCTCCTAACCTCGCTTCTAAGATACTTCTGGGATTGCTTCTACAATTCAAGTTCTATGAAAAGAATCTGTGTACCGAAATAGATGTACATTTTTAAAATGAGACATGTGGGTTTCTACTGTGGCTCCGATGAGTTTGGTAGTAGGTTTGTTTCAAGAGTATTGGAGTTTGTGTTGCACAGCATCTTAATTGTGTGTAAGTGTTATTTTTTTTGTAAAATAGGTGAGGTTTATAACAATTGGATACTAGATGTAGGGGATATAGTTTTGGTAACTTCTAGTTTGGTATGAAAATGAGGTTTTGAGTTTTTGTTTGTGTTTCATTTGAGAATAACAAAAATTAGATAGTTATGATTTATGTATAATATATAATAGTCAACCTTTTTAGGGTGATTAGATATGAGTATAATAGTATCAAACATTTTATGTTTAAGTCATGTATATTTATGTAATTTTTTAAAGTGTTTTGGCCACTATTTTGTTATTTTTACATATTATTATTTTTAATTAAAAACATGATATTTGTCTCAGTAGATCTAAGTACACATGTATTATTCCACCTTGGTGTAAGCATCTTGTCATTTGATTTAAAATGTTGTTCTTGATTAATATAAAGTGACAATGAAGTTAGGTGTTGACATATTCAATTTATTGTATTTGTAATAGATAAAGTTATGAGTTGATTTATCAAGAAGATATGATCAAATGGTTTGTATTTCTACAATGCCTCATGCAAAGAAGATAGGAAAGATGAACATGTAGTTTTAATTGAATATTTAACAATGTCATTGGATAGCTTTATTAATATTGTGTGATATTTTTAGTGGCTTTTTCAACTAGTTTCAAAATATACACATTTAATGCAAAGATGCACAATAGTTGTTATAATTTTGCATCGGTACTAGGCTATAATACAATAATTTATATGTATAAACAGTATGTTAATAAAATATTAGAAAAAACTCTTTTAGGGTGACTTATAAGATATAAATGTTTAAGTTACATATGTACATATATCCATACATACATACATACATACATATAAACTTATTTGATACTTAATGTAAAATACATGAGTTGTAAGTGAACTTCAATAATGATAATTAACTAACTTTATAATATATATATATATATATATATATATATATTTATATTAAAAATAATTTATGATATTGTATTTATTAATTATTTTAATTCTTCATATTTCACATGAATCATGTGCACAAGCATATACAAAGATTTCATGTGTAATCATAAGAAAGACGTCATGTGTCAAACGTCATGAACTATATCACAATAATTTAATGTATCAAGATTTTTTCATGACAAAACCCATACCGAGTAACATTTCCGAGCTAACTGTATGGAGAAGACCATTTTCCATTGAATATTCGAGTTCTAATTTTTCCTATTCAGTTTTGTTGTAATCTGTTGCCACATGTAGACCTGCCGGGAACAGTTGACTTCACGTTTAACACACCGATGAAGTCTTTGAGAAAAGGATCTTTACGGCCAGAGTCTGGTACTGCGTGCAGTTGACTCCGTGTATTCGGTCCCATTCACCGAAGCTGCTTTCATGAGCCACACATTTCTAATAATAGAGTTATAGATTTCTTTCATAGCCAGAGAGAGTTGGAATGAAACACAAGTCAATTGATCTGTCGGGTACCCATCGGCGTTCGTATATTCGCACGCTCTACCCCTCCAGTGTTCTTTTGAGCAGTATTAATACAGTGCTCGAGCCGGTCACTGCATCCTCGGATCCCGGCTCAAGGATGTCACTTGCTGTGCAGTTTTTCTGAAGTCGAAGTTACTGTGCCTTCTGTTTGCCCAAAACTTGCCTCGAGTTGCAGGTTTTGAGGTGTTTGGAATCTATTTGATTCCCTCTCGGACGAGTATATTACAATCGACCAGTAGCACAGAACTGATTATCAAGTTTAGGTGAGACGTCATTCCCTGTCCCCTGTAGCTGGTTCAATCAATTTTTTTTTTTTAGTTTGGAACTCACTTGTTGGGTGACAGGAGTTGTCAGAATCGTAATGTGTATAAGGGAAGGACAATGGTTGTTGTTGCTACTTTATTTTTCTTTGTTTTTTGGGTCTTTTAAGAGGTATTAATTTGATTTTGTGCTTGTGACTGCTCCAAGTTTCAGTGCATCAGGATGTGTAATACGTTCAATCATGTGTCCTCTTTGCGTATGCAGGAGATAGAATGTCGTCGTTTTCAACTCTTTTGACACAGCCATCTCTGTCCCAAGTTGCGGGTATTCACTTGCGAACTGGATGCAAAGGAGTAATTCAGGCAGCGTCCAGTACTGCAACGCTAGTAATCCTGCCACCATTATTGCCCAGGGGGCTGCAAAACAGGGGGTTACAATCAAGTACCAGTCTATGCAACAGGCACCTGATCAGGAGGTCTCCACATACCCACGATAAGCGGGGAATTATCATGGCATCTCAGGTTATGGCGGCGGATGAGCTAATGCAGGAGTCGAAGGATGCCACGGTGCCACCTAATACTCTAGCACAGAGATGGAGAGACATTCAAGGTGCCACGGACTGGAAAGGTATGCTGGACCCAATAGATTCCGACCTGCGAGCGGAGCTTATCCGCTACGGAGAATTCGCCCAAGCATGCTACGACGGGTTTGATGGCGAAGTGTACTCGAAATATCGAGGGAGCTGCCGTTACAAGAGGGAGGATTTTCTCAACAACGCAGGTCTCGCTAACTCTGGATACGAGGTCACGAAGTACTTGTACACCACTACCGATGTGACAAGCCTTCTCCTCCTCGGCGAGTCTGACGCGCCCATGGAGCGCATGTCGAACTGGGCGGGGTTCGTCGCCATCTGCACCGATGAGGAGCGTATCAAGCAGCTCGGTCGCCGTGACATTGTCGTGGCGTGGCGTGGCACCAGTGCGAAACTCGAATGGGCAGCAAATCTGAAACGAACTCTCGTCCCATCCTCTTTAGACGACCGAGACCAGCGCGACAACTGGCTCGACCCTAGGGTGCGAATAGAGAAAGGTTTTCTCAGTCTCTACACAACTAAGAATCCCAGGACGCGCTCCAACAAGAGCAGCGCCCGGGAGCAGCTACTCTCCGAGCTCCTCCGCCTGATAAAGAAGTACGACGATGAAACGCTGTCGATCACCATCACAGGCCACAGCCTAGGTGCTGCCATGGCAACCGTCTCAGCTTACGACATCGCGGAGTCAGGTATCAATCGACATAGCATGGATGATATGAAAATTCCCTCGCAATGGAACGAACACACAACTCCTACACCCACATCGGACCCGTCCCAAACCACGCATATGAACACTGTACCCATCACCGTCTTCTCCTTCGCTGGACCTCGGGTGGGCAACTCCCCGTTTGTCGACCGCGTCCAGGCCCTTGGCATCAAAGCCCTGCGTGTCGTCAATTACCACGATTACGTTCCTCGAGTTCCTGGTTTCTTCGCCAACGAAGAGATGCGAATGGTGCAAAACCTGATCGATAAGCTGCGGTGGACATACTCCCACTGCGGTGTTGAGCTGGAGATCAACAGCGACCACTCACCATACCTGCGGCGAAAAGCGGGCGTCGCAAACGTACACAATCTGGAGGGGTACTTACATTTGCTGGCGGGTTATCAGGGACCTGGTCGCGGGATCGGGAAGGATTTCAAGCTAATGCACCGTCGCGATATTGCACTTGTGAACAAGAGCTCAGATTTCTTGGTGCCGCAGCAGCTTGTGCCGTCCTTCTGGCGGCAGCTCGCGAACAAGGGTTTAGTTCAGAATGATGATGGCGATTGGATTATGCCCGAGCGGGACACTGAGGATATGCCCTACTCCACCTGAGCACTATGTGTCTATCTTCATCAGCCTCTTCTGTTCTATTTAGTGTGTAAAGATTTGACTTAAACAAGTTTGTGTTCATTGACATGAAGACTTGGATTTTCTACGAGTAATTTGACAGTTAGGGAGTTTCACAATGAGAGTTTGCGACGTTTAGAAATTGGTCACCTCTTTAAATTGTAAATTTTCCCGCTGCGTATATACAAGGTGACGTTTTCCTCAATCATTCATTTACAGGTGCACACTCCGATCTCAAAGTGCAGAAGGAAGATGAGATACCGCCAGTAAACCATTCTCCAATTTGTCTGCTACAGTTACAGCAGCAGAATTAACATCTGCGCCGAATGGATTCTTCAAGTCACTTGTGTGGATATGGCTTCAGAAAAAGCCTCATTGAGCACGTTGAGATGGATAGAGTTGCCTGCTCATGTCAGTCTTATATTTTTTGCTATTCTGGTTTTTTTTAATTGTTTTTTGGTCGATTGTCGTTGCTTGGTTTTTCGACATCAAGCTCCACCAGTAGTCAGGATGCTTGGAGTGGACGGCAAGCGAACTGCCACAATAAAACAGACCAGCGTGCCATTTTAGAAATACCATGAGAAGCGTCTCAAAGCTACACCATTGTGCAATTCCTCTTCTTTCGTGTACCTAAACCACCACTTGTTTTTATTTATTTATTTATCTTTGAATCTTCTCATCATACTCAATGCGCACATCTGACTTCTGCCGAGGAAACATGTTTCGACTAGCAGAGGCTCCGATCGTCTACCTCGTCTGTTCTGAACTCAACCATGCTCGACAGCAAGACGGCTACAAAAATCACCTCTCTCAACGATATTACGCACGAGTAGTGCACCAAAACTTCGACTATCCAAGAGCTTCGAAAACATGTAAGGCGAAGTTGAAACAAGCCATGTGCTCAGGGGAGCAGATCGAAGACTGTGGATGATGACCTCCCAAGGTTTGAAATGTCTAGTTCCGGACAAGGCTGCTCCAGCAAGGAGAATGAAACCTAGCAGACTAACATTGCAGTGTTGTGGAAGACATGCAACCAAATCCATTGCAGCAGCACGTCGAGCATGAAATGGACATTGAACAGTCAATGTTTTAGGCATTCCAAGGCAACATTACAAGACAAATATGTTGAAATGGTCCAACAATAGAATCATGCACCTCTTTGTAAAACGGAACTTGAATCATGCACTTATTCCCATAGTTGAGTGGAAATAAAAACTAGTTGGACAGAAACTTGCAGTTGTAATTGTTATGAAATGGAAATTCATTCATGTTGCAGATTTGCAAGAAGAAGGGAGAGCCAGCACTTTGTGAAACTTGTTATATACTGGAAAAATCTGAGCTTGTAGTACAAATCATATGGTATCATTCAACAGTTCTCCTCTTGAAGTGGGACTTAGTTCTCTACTAAAAGAAGGTCTAACCTATCATTGAAAGTTTGAAACTTATTTCTTAGAAGAGGCTTTGTGAAGATATATGTTGCGATTTGCTCTGTAGAACAATATACCAATCCAATTTGTCTTTTTTCCACACATTGCTTGATGAAATAATGTTTTGAAACCAATGCTTTATAAAATCATAGTGTGTTGAATTCTTAGCAATAATAATAGTATTCTAGTTATCCTCATAAATCAAAATCTTTTTGTCAAGGATATGAATCTCAAAGATAGAAAACTCAATACCTTCTTGAATTACTTGAATAGATTTGAAAGTTACTCAAAGATGGTATCATATTGAACTAGAATGGCTATTGCCAAAGATAAGAAGATTAGAAAGTTTTGAAAAAATAGTAAAGACTTAAAAAGTATTGACAAGAGTGAAGAAGGCTTTAATCTTGCATCCATATATATTATCTAATTAGGAGCTATGTGGCAATGTTCTATAGGACCTCCAAGACATGTTGACTTGGCAAGACATGTATTTTAACTTATAAGGTAAGTTTTCTATATTTATACTACATAGGTTAATTTTTTCCACAAGCTACTAATACATATGGCATATGAATAACTTGTTGATTAAATTTCTAATATTTTAATCAACTACAAATATGTATAAATTCATAACTGCATTTGTAAAGCTTCTAAGAAGCTTATTTAGAAGATATTATAAAATAAATCTACATTTATTTACTTCTACCTAATCATACAAGTAACTATTATAACAAATATGTATGTTTGTGACATTACTATTCTTTTTAGGAATGAGTTCCATAAAAAATAATCATTATCTGTTATGGATCTTGTTATTCTTTATTTTGGTTTTGATAGATGTCACCAATGAAAAACCTCAACTCTCTTTGCTACATTTAAAAAATTCTTTGTTGGCTCCTATGTGCATTTACTAATATCATATCTGCACCAATAAACAAGGCATTCTAATTTATTTTGACGTTTCATTGAATTTAAGACTTCTTCTACCTCAAATTCTTAAATATTATCCACTTCTATAGAAAGAGGTAGCATTTAACTTCTTTCCAAGATATTCACTATTTTATATGGTTCAAAATGAGACATGTGAAATATATGATAAATCTTCATAAACTTTGATAGATGTAATTGATAAGCAACATGATTAAGTTATCCACAAATAGAAAAATATTCAAGCCTACAATAGTCCAACTTATGACAAGGAGAAGTAATCTTCATATTATAATGAAGTAAACATACCTTGTCACTTAAATTGAATTGTAGTTGTTCCTTGCAATAGGCATCCACATTGATTTTTTGTCATTTGTAGCTTTTTTTAACTATGCCTTCATTGTTGCATATAGCTCTAATAAATAATTTGTCAAATCTCTTGTCACAAGATTATCAACCTTTAAAAAGTAAAAAATATCAAGTTATAGATGATAATCATAATTGATAAAGAAAGGTGTCTTTTGAGTAGAAAAATGTACCAAATTATTATATGCAAACTTTGCTAATAATAAAAGAGTTGCTCAATCATCTTAATAATAATTGATGGTATACTTTAAATATTACTCAACAACTTCATTTACTCGTTCTATTTATTTAAGAATTTGAAGATAAAAAACCAAAGAAAACTTCATATTCACCTTTAAAATCTTAAAAATGGTTTTTTTAAATCTTGATATAAATTGAGTCTTCTTAATCAATATAATATCCTTAAGTAATTCATGACAATGATAGGTATTATCAAAAAAAAACTTAGCTATTTCTTTACATGTGATAGATTTTGTATATAGTACAAAATGTGCCATTTTGTAAAACGATCTACTATTACAAATATAAAATCATATGAATCTAAGATTGAAAGATATTTAATAAAATCCATAGAAACAAAAGAACATAGTTGTTTCAAAATAGATAATGGGTCAAAAAGTCTATAAAATCGACAATGAGGGATTTTGGAACTTAAACAAATATCACATGATTGTACAAAGTCTTTGATTGCCTTCCACAATTGAAGCAATAAAAAATCTTTAGATATTAGCTCTAAAGTCTTATTGTATCTAAAATATACAACTGCTAAAAAGTCATGATAACCTTGATAAATACTAAATTGTGCTTCACCCTCTGAAATATATAGGTGACCTTTATAATAGAATATGTTGTTTTTGAATTCAAACTTAGAAGTATCATAAGACTTAAAAGAAGTATTCTTGATATCATAAACAAGAGGATTAAAATATATACTCGATTGAATTTGCATAACAAAAGTTGAATCAATAATCAATGTTGATTTTATTGCTCAAAGATAAAATTGCTTAGGCTTCAAGATGTCCATTCTTTGTTAATTAAAAGCTGCATATCCTTCTTTTGATATAAGATAAAAAAATCTTATGAATGCATCTTATAAGCTTTATTATTTTCTAAGACAATATGTGATTTTAAAATCAAAACTTGATAATGACATGCTCTAACGAGCTTGGTGACAATTTAATATCCATGCTGACATGAAGTACTTGAGGTTCTTGTGATCTATATATGTGATAATTGAATTAGAAGTACCTTCTAAATAATAAAAATATTATTATAATATAATTATTTATAGTATATAAAAATTAATTAAAATATATAATATATTTATAAGTATTGATGTGTATTAGAATAGTTAGTAGATTAATTTAAAGAGAATTGATGGAAGAAAATTTATTTTGAGGTTTATTTATTTTGATTATAATATTTGAATTATATAAGATTTAGATATTTAGTATAAAATTTAAGAAGAAGATTGGAACTTAAAGATGAAGATTCAAACCTCTAAGAAACTTATTTGGAAGAATGAAAATAAGGTATAAATAGATGAAGACAAAGATTGAAGATCTTCATCCATATTGGTCAAAAGCCATGTCCAATAGGCTCTTAGGAGGTTGTCCATGACCATAGGCTCTCAAGAGGCTCTATACAAGTCTCAAGGATTTTAATGACTTCAAAAGAAATATTTAAAAATAAAAGATAAGGATCATAAAATTTAAGGTTTATGCTACAATTTGTGTACAAATTTTAAAGGATTTGGAATGAAAATGATGAAATTATAGCCGTTTGAAGTTAAGGTATTTTTTTAAGACATCTTGTTGCTCTTTCAAAGATACAAGGAATTCTATAATAGCTTTTGGAGATCAAAAGATGTAGTCGCAAGGATAATTTCAAGATTTACATCTTTTTCAAAGGAATTTTTATATTTGGAGTTTATATAAAGGAGTTATAGAGCATTAAAGACAAAATATGTAATTCAAAGGCAATAAATAAGTCATTTTATTGATAGTAATGTTTGGAGCCATATCCTAAGTTTTTGGATGAATTTTTGACTCAAAATTTTCAAAAGTGTATGTTATTAGGTTAAAAAGTTATATATCAAAATTTTATGGTATTTGAATACTTAATTTATGAGATATAAAGAAAATTGTACACAAGTATATGTAAGCAAGGGTTTGAAGCTATTGGTAGGAATTTGGTGATATCTCAAGATCTGTAATAAATTTACAATTAAAATTTTTTGTGATAGTTGTTGATAGTATATCAATACTTCATGTAAAATTTTAGTTCGTTTGAATAGTTTGATTGTGAGATATGACTTTTTGAATTTTGAAAAGATTTCACCTTAAGGATATATAAGGTTTTAGAATATTTTTATTACATTTTGACTGATCTTTGGTACTTAGGGCTTGTATATTGATGTAATTGTTCATATAAGAATAATTTTATATATAAACTTGGTGTTTTTTTTTTTTTTTTTTTTTTTTTTTTA